TTTTTAGACTATTCTTTTCCTCTCCCTTCAACAATCTTCTTAGCCTTCTTCAAATACCTAAATATTTATTTATCCTATAGTTGAACATCATACTTGACTTTTATGTAATCGCAAACTTTTTCATGTTTCATGTCTGTGGTCTTCCTCAACTTATTTACTAATTTTGTAATAACTCATCCCTATAGTTAGTTTCACTATTATTAAAAACCCTTCCATATGTGTGCTCTAAGTTGAATGTCTTGATATAATAATTGTGCCTAGCATTGTTCTTGGCACAATATATATCCCAATCACATATATTACTCTTGCATTTTTCCTAAGCCCTTATCTTGTCATTCTTCACCCATTTAATCTTTCTTCCCAACTGAGTTGTGTAATCCTTCACCCTTTGTTTAAAAGTCTTCAATGTTGCAAATTTCATCCTCAATTCCAATGTTATATGTCCAAATACAGACTGCTCATTGAATTCAAGAAATATATCTTTTGATATGGCTTCATCATTTAAAATTGTGTGAGTCTTCAACTCTTAAGACATCCAAGAATCATTCCTCATCTCAATAGATTTAGCCTCATGAAAAGTGGTCCTATGAACAAATTCTTGAAAACTAATAGCATTAACATTTGGATATGAATCATCTTCATAACCACATTGATATGTTTCCTTGTGACTTTCTTTTTTTTTTTTTTTCCCTTTTTAACGTTTTTTTATCTCTTTAGGTGCATTTTTTAATAGGCTTCTTTGCAAGCTTTTTCACTCTTTGCAACTCTCTCCTTTTCTTTCATGCTCTCCTTTACTCTTGCTCTAGTGCCTATTCCTCCTTTCATATATTCTTTGTTTCTCTTTTCTCAACTTCATTTTGTTTTTATTTGTCCTTAGTAGTCAACCTCTTATTGAGACATCTTAATGTCATATTCTTTCTTAGCCTCTTCTTGGGTATATGCTTCTCTTTGACCTTTTTTTTTTTCATAGCAAATAAGCATTGCCTTTTATATGTATTTTACAACCAATATCTCAATTTTTTTCTTCCTTATTAACATTGTTTAGGTCTATGAATGTTGACACAATTTTTTTTCTCTAATAGAGGACGTTCTACTTGAGCTCCCACTTCTCACCACCCATGAAGGCATTCTTTAAAAGTATCATCATCTCTCTTTGACATATTCTGTAACACCAACCGGTCCAGGGCTATATCAATATTGTACTTGCATTATTTTATGGAAGCATCAATCAAATCTTTTCAATACCAAATACAAGTATGTTCAAGGTGAATATACCAACTCAGAATTGTCCCAATCAATTTATCTTTAAAAAAATGGATTATTAATTTGTCATCATCGGCATGTGACATCATCTTTTTATAATACATTATCAAATAACTTTTTGGACAAATAATGTCTTTATATTTCTTAGACTCAGGTATCTTGAAATTCAAGAGAATTATCATATCTAAAACCAAGAAAAAATATACAACTTTTCTAATGTCATAATTGTTCCTTTTAATGACTCTCAACCTCTCTTTTAATATATGTAGTTTTTCTTTAAATTAGAAGTTTTCTTCTAAATCTAACATTCCCTTAATATTTTATGGGAATGAAATGGTGATGTTAGTGAGTTTTCTTATGTTGGCAAATTTAACTTTTCAAAAAGTTTTCAACTAAGTATACTCACTAATTGTAATAAAACAACTATTTTAAACATTGCAAATATCATTCCTACGAAGACTATATTATAAAAAAAATTATTGCTCTTGTTCCTCAAATGTTAACCAAATTCAAGAGTTTTGAAAGTTAAGATCAAAATAGAGTTTGAAATTAAAAAAAAAAATAGAAAAGTAGAGAAATCACAAAGTTGTTTTAATATGAATAAAAGACATAGACTTTGATTTTTTCTTATGATTACTTATATGTTCTTCAATTCAATTGTATTAAAGTAATTATTAATCATCTAATCAATCATTACCATTACATAATGATCATGTAATAATGGCAATTTTTTTTATCTATATGATGTCCTAATGATTATAGATAGCAACAAATAAATAACAACATTAAGAAATATTAGATTTATTAAATTCAATTAACTGATTAGAAGTATATGTGATAAATTGATCTTTAACTCCTAAATCTAAATTACCTTCTAGTTTCATTAACCTATTAATGGTACGATCGCTTATCAATTAACTAAGATTTACTCTTGAGTGATCAATTTAAGAATATAAATAATAACAAATAGGTAATTTTAATTAACAAATAACACTAATATTATAAAATTAAATTGAATTTCAAAATGGATTATATGGTAAGAATTCACCTTAATCTCATGGCAGAAGGTATTTAGTTACATATAGTCATAAAGATGAACGTAAAGATAACTAAAAACACAAAATATACATAATAACAAATAATAAGAAAAGAAAAACCTTTGTGGCTAATCTAATCTAACGGAAACACAACTATGTTATGAAGGAAAAAAGGAGATGGAGGAGATGGATAGTTAGTAAGGCCTTTTATATAGAATGTAAAATCCAATGGCCTACAAAGAAATGTGACTCTAAAAATATATGATTTAACTTCCAAAAAGATATAACTTCAAAATGTTATGATTTAATCTCCAAAAAGATATGTTTTCTGTAAGATTCAAAATTTAAATTCAAAACTCACTTATTGTTTGCTTATTTCAACAACTTTTATCTATGATTTAACCTAAAATAAAATTAAGGAAAATTTATCTAGTTGAAAGAGTAAAATAACAATTTTAATGGTAAAATAGGCTAAAATCTCATAGATAAAGTAACAAAATAACAATTTATCACATTTGATGTTGAGATTGATTATTTGTGATTGCTAATGAATCTATGGGTTTGTGGTAAGTATGATGTGTGGTATGTGGGCTTCTTAGGGATTAATGTTTTGGGAATGGGCATATGATATAGAATAAATGTTGAGATTTGTTAGATTTGAGGGAATGAAACAGAAGGTTGTATAGAATTGTGTTTAGTTGTTGGATCACTAGTATTTGGTGAGTTTTCAATCGATATTGGTGTATAACTATAGGAAAGTCATATGGAAGAAATTGAACTTGTTGATCATTAACATATACATTTAAAGGATAATGATTCACATAAAAATATGACAATCTTAGAAACATGCAAATTATAGTCCTTGACTTATCAAAAAAATAAAATTAACTACAAGAATCAAACAAGAAACTATCAATGATAATTATAAAAAGTCTTCTAACATAAATATTAGGTTAAAATCAAGAATAAATATCAAGTAAAATATGTATAACAAGTCTATAAATTTCTTACACAAAATAAAATAAAAAGACAAGATCTAGAGTCTTTCTTTTTCCTTAAAAGTCATCATTTTTATTAAAAAATCATTAAAATAAAATTTAAGATGAGGATATATGTGGTTGAAGTTTTGGTTCGATTTGAGTAAGGAGACTTGTGCCCATTTTGTTAAGTGCAATGGTTGCCAACATGATAGTAGTGATGTAGAAAGATGACTTCATCCTATTTTACTTTCTAAGTTATTTAGAGGTGATTTTTAAAAAATAATGAATGATGGGTAAAAGTGTTGGAATAGATATAGGATTGGAAGAATTACGAGCAATTTTTTTCTATTTTTTAAATTTTAATTCAAATTACTTTTATCTATTTATATGTACTAAAATTGTTTGTAGCTTCAAAATTTTGATTTTTTTTTAAATAAATTAGTTAGCATGTTATAATGGGTGTAAATAATATGTGTATGTTAATAAATACTTTGACAAATAAACATAACGTGTAAGGAAAAATATTACTACTTATTTTCATATATACTTAGAGTATGTTTGTTTGTATTCTCTTTTTAAAAGCTAAAAATTTATTTTATTTTTCTTATTTTTCTTTTTTATTACCTTTTCTTATTTAATACTTTTGATGATTATTTTTTTTTCATTCTTCATTTTTTTTTCTCTTAGTTCTCCACTCTTTCAAATTTATTCTTAGGATCTAATTTCATTTCTTCTTTTCTGTGTTTCAATTTCATATTTTTTTTCTCTCAATTTCTCTCCCCTTATTTTATGCTTTTAGATTCTCTAACTAGAGGCTAAAATATTGGCCTCTATTTCCCTTTTTATGCATAAAAAGAGGGTACTTGTACTGGCTTTGTTTATCCATCATGTTGGTTTTTCTTTTTTTCAGATTTTTTTTTCAAATTTTGTCAAAAATAATTTTACTTTCTAAGAAAATATACTTATTTTTATTTATTCATTGTAAAACAAAATCATATAAATATCTCTCTTACAAAGAATGTTTAGAGAAAAATTAGAGTTCATAATAAAAATAAATGTTTATTTTTTATAATTAAGAAAAAAATAGTTAACCTTTTTTTATATATATATAAAAGACTTCGAAAGAAGTATTGTTATAACCTACATTTTATTTTCTTAATATGATACGTCATTTTTAACATTATTTTGTATTTTAGCACATGTGTACCCTAGTTATTTTACTTTATGAGTATATACTGATATTTTAAGAAACAATGTTCAGTTTATCCAAAAATTAAGAAAGAAATCGAAGTAAAAAACACTCGATTTTCAAATTTTATTTATCCGTAAAGCAATTGGTAGTAATACATGCCTTGATTCATATTATAAATGAGATAATTAATCTTCAAACTAGTCAGCCAATAAACAAAATTATCCTTGGTGAATAAACATATATGACATGTCTTCTTTTGGAGAAATATCATCAACAAATTCTCTCAAAGGAAAAGAAATTTCAAAGTCAAGATCAAGTGAGGCACCAACACATGAATCTTACAATAGAATTAAAAAAAAAAAAAAGCCATAAGAAAGAAACTTCAAGGGTGCTAAGTGTCATTAATTGTCTATGAACATCACAATCATTAATCACATAGTCACATTTCTAGCCACTCCATTAATCCATTCCCTAATTTTATTCTGCGAGGACCACCACTGCTAACAATCAATTAGGTTCTTTAGTGCTTTAGCAATTCCAGAACTCTGCCCTTTTCACCTTTGAAATGCTCTCAAGAACTCCCACTGGAGAAATGTGCCCCATCACTGTCACCCGCTTTGACTCTATATCTATACTGAATGATGTAACTCCTGAGATCATAAGTTATAAAACATGTTATACCACTTGATTTTATTTTGTGATCATACATAAATTTTATTTCAGATTACGAAAATGTATAATATGTCACAATAATTATTCTTTTTAAGTGCATTTCGTTTTTAAGATTTTACAGGAATAGTATTGATAGTTACCTTCCATCTTAGACAGATGCTTTTTCACTTTACCAGCACATCCTTGACAATGAATAGCTACCCGCATCACAACCACCTGTATATAACTCCATCAAAATTAGTAAAAGTAGAATGCAAAAATAAAAGAGTGTAACCTTTTTTTTTTCTCCCACTGAAAATAACGTTTTGCAATTATTATGCCCCATTCATTCTTTATATTATTTTAATATGGGATTTAATTAAGACAATTCACTTAGTTTAAATACTTGGTATTATTTTAAACATGTTGGAACTGGTAATTGGATTTTTTTTAAAAATACTTGCTTATAATTAATTTAATTTTTAAGATTATTTGTTTAATTCTAGATTTATTATTTATGTAACCTACTAATCCCTTGGTATATATTTAATCTATTAATTGAGTATTATTTGTATTTCCAACAAGTCACCTAAAACTTATTTGTCATTAGTATTAAGGTTAGCTTAATTGAGTTAAATCTAGAATTATCTATTAAAAATCTGTAAATATATGCCTTTTCAGGATGAGCAAGTCAAGCCAAGCCAGGTAATTCAATTTCTGTTCACAACTCACAAGTCTCTTTTCCTTACTTTTTTTTTTCTTTTTTACCTCTTTTAGTAATTTTCTTTTGTGATTAATATATATTTATTTTCGCACTTTTATTATTCTTTATTGAACCACACTGGCAGGGGTGAGAGAAACGCCAACGATGCCGACATGTAAACATAAACAGTGACTAAAATATAAAACCCGTTTCCATTTCCCAGCGAGATGCTTTACTTCATAATCTTCGATCTTTTAATTTGGACTGGTAACTTTTATTGCTTTATTGATTATTAATTAAACAGAGAAATGTAGCTTTCTCAATTCTCACAGCACTCAGGTTACTGCCTCAGGAACTGAAAATTTTGAACAGAAAAGAATTAGCACAAGTCCTTTATTTGCTTTTTTTTTTTCTTAAAAAAATACTCTTTTAAATTAAAAATGCTTAAAAAATAAAATATAATTTTAAAAAAATTAATAAAAGAATTATATCATAACATTTTTTTTCCAAATTTTATCTGAACCGACTCATAAATTATATGGTAGACTAGTAGCAATAAAAAAACTAAGAAAAACAAAATAATAGGGAAGAAAAAAAAAAGGATAGTTTATAAAATTCTATAAATGTGTCAGAGAAACGGCATATATATATATATATAGGAAATATTTTCATGGTAAAATGTCATTTGCATCCACTCTCACGTTGTGTTAGAGAAAGGGTAGACTAATCTAACCTGAAAGACGTTATCTGTTAGTGTTTTCTGAGACTGGCTTGGTTCATTCTCTTGATCTTGGCTACTCTTCTTGATTTTTGGCACAGTGACAGACACACATTTATTGTGAGATGAATTGAACCTGCGAGACTCACCAAGTTTGGAGTACTTGGCATAGTTGATCAACCTTGTGTCATCAAGAAAAACACTTCTGTCTTGCCTCCTAGGAGCAACCACATACCTAGGATCGCTGCTACTCATGCACACTGCTGTTGATGCCCGAGAGTGGCACATGAAACCATTCCTCATTGTCTTGTTACTGCTTCTCTGGCTCATAACAAAAGTGAAGGATTTTTGAGGGGGATGGGGATTTATACTCATCAATTGTACGCTGAAAGTTTGGGTACGTTTTCAAGATATGACGGTATTCTAATGTTAATGCTAGTTTTCTAAGTGGGAAAAAGTAGGAGAAAGTGACTACAGAATAGAAGAGACATTGTGTCATTATGACTTAGCTAACAATGGGTTCACTGGCAGTGTGGAATCTTTTTGGCATTTTATCTATTATGTACATATCTATGATCTTAACGTGTCCAAAATCCAGTCCTTTTCAGCGGTTAATGCTGAGAAATTGACAATCTTTTTTGCTATGGATTAAAAGGACGTGCAAGAGAAATTCAGATTAACACAGGATGAACATGGGTTTTCCTGTTTTATTTTTTTCTCTCACCAAACTTTTTAATTATTACTGTCGTTATTAATTTTGTTAGGGTCTTGGGATGATGAATAATTCTGAAGGAAAATATTAAAAAGAATTTTATGATAAAAAAATATCTAAAAAATTTACTTCGATTAAATGATATCGTGTGGGATAAAATTTAAATCATTATTTTGGAGTCTTAGAAAGAGAGTAGGATTGTGAGGGATATTAAAACAAGAAAGGCTTCATTTTTCCCTCCACTAGTATTTTTTTCTCCTAGCCACGGCCAGCTATCTGTGATGAGAGTGAGAATAATACAAACAAGCACCTCATCACATCAGTGTCCCTCCCCCACACAAATGGGGTAAGCTCAAGAAGTAGGACACCCATTGTTGCAAGGTTTGTGGATATGATCATTTTCTCTTGTCTTTTACATAATGGTTATTACCACTAAACATGGGCGATAAGAAACACAGAGTGGGGAAAGCTGAAATTGTAGTTGGACAGCGATGGATCAAAATGCATTTTTATTACAATACAGTGTTACTAGAAGCTGATAATCTCGCCTTGTTAAGCATGACCATGGACTTGTATACTATTTACCTAACTAATCTGGCTTCTCATTGGTCATGAGGAACGCATAGTTTGTCAAAATTTACCCTTCTTGATATAGCTAAAACAATGTCAAACTATTCAAATTTTCCAAATTTTTTCCTCTTTTGCTCTCCAGTGGAATTTTGAACAAACTTTGATTATTAGATATGACCGCGTATTCATGTTACCTTAGTTTTGATTGTATTCTAGTGGTTTCTTTGCTTATATGTAAATGATTAGTTAAATCCAAAAATCAGTTCATCTGTAAACTAAAAGTTTTATCATCATTAGGAAAACAAACAAAACAATATAATTATAGAAGAACCACATCTTGCTAGAACCAATGGCATTAATATGTAGTATTGCTGTGTAGTTTTCAGTTAGGAGATAATTACCAAGGTAAAACCAACGGTTGAATGTATATCTGATCTCAGTTCTCTTCTAGAAAGACTGAAAATGCACTTGGCCTCTTTACAACCCCATCTTCCCAAAACAAAAGGACAAGCTTTCGCCAGCAAAACAACTAGTGAAATTTTCTATATAGGCATAGAACAATTGAAGGTGGGAGAGTCATGTACAATACCAGATTATAAAAGACTCAAAATACTAACTATACTCTAATATCTAGACTATGATTATGTGAAAGTATTACAAATTCCATCTATCTCACTCTTAAAAATTAACTCCATATTGATATTTGCAAACTGAATAGATTCTAATACCATATTTCTAACCGATGAGAAACAAATAGTAACATTATTACGATATTACGATATTCATGAATGCAGTGTATAGGAAATTAAATGTAACGATTAGAACATGGGTGAAGTAGGTATGACACAGAGAAACCTTTTCTAATGATGAGTGCATAAGTTTGTACAAGGACATTACTTTGCCAGAGGGATGGCATGTGAAATTATTTATGTGGGTTCAGTCTTTTAATTCCTTCCTCTGTTCCATCCTGCTTTCAGCAGTAAAGTATAACATCCATGGACCACAACTAAGTCTAGGTCTTCTGCAAGTTCTCCGAAACCTTACCATTAATTGATGAGATCCACCACTCCATTCAAAGTACAAAGCTAAAATTAAATGCGGCACTTCAAAAACTTCAAATCAAATTAGAGGCTTGCCCAGTTAAGAAATTTAAATTCATCAAAATCATACTTCTGAACTTTGACCTGTATGCAAAGCTTTAAAGAGTTATTATATAAGCCTGATGTGAAAAATCTAAATTTAGCATAAAAACATATGCTAAATTTAAAGCATTATTAATAATATATTCTACCTTTATTTTTTTTATAAATTATGAGCGTTGTTTCTTAAAACAAAAATATATTTAGAAGTACTAACCGAGTGACTCAGTATCCTTAAGTAAGATTTAGAATTTGAGTTTTTATGTATGCAAAAAATTTATAATGATAAATTCACCCACCTCATCTAAATGCGTGATCCGGGTTAGATCCGGACTATACTGATGGAAACAAAAAAAAATTATTTTAAATTAAAAAAATCTAGAAGTTAATTTTCTTTCTTATTATATCATGTAACACATTTTATTTTTTCATTTAATTTTAATTTTTTTATAATTTACTCTTTAATTTAGTTTTGTTTAATATAATTAAATATTTACTATCAATAATTAAAATAGTTATTCCTTTTAAAATTTATAAAACCTATTCAATTTAAAATAATCACATCATATATCTTAATTTTTTATTTAAAAATTATTTTAAATTAATAATATTTATGCAATGCATGAAAAAACTCATTAACTCGATCATAGAATCCAAACTTTGGGCAAATTAAAGGAAATATATTCATGATACGATAAACATGAAGAAAGATATAAATTAAAGTTTTCTTATAAATTAAAAAAAAATGCTTCGCTATTTTTTCTAAAATTTTCTTGTTTAACTTTTCTAAAAAATTTAAATTTATAAATTTTTTTATATAAAATTTTATCCAAACATGGTTTAATAATGAGATTGTAATTCAAATTACTTAACAAAGGCTTAGTCTACTTTACACTCGATCACCATCAAACCTAAACCACGCTAATACTAATGTTGGACTCAGGATAGCCGAGACCCAATTCGCCAAATAAATGTCTTGCCCTGTTTCATATGTCTAAACCAGTCTCTTACAACGATGTTTGAGAGGGTGAGTCACTCCTATCCACTTTTGGTGGGTTTCTCTCTATCTTTGGTCAGAGTCCTCTCTTTTTCTTTTTTATTTACAATTTATTTTGATATCTTATTCAATTTTTTTATAAGTGGACATGCTTTGATTTGTAATGTTTTATTGTGTAGCATTGCAACATCACTCAGAGTATTTACACATTATGATTCTACCACAATATTCAAATGCCTTTACAAATATTTCTACTTTTATTATTATCTATCACTTTAACTTAGCACATACTTCATCTATAACCTTCACGCAAATTACGTGGACTTGGTCTTTTTTTAGGCCCAACTTGATCTGATTCTAAATTATCTTCAAATAGTAGTGTTAAGATTTCATGAGGAGGGATCCAATCCAAATGGACACTTAATGAGTTAGTCTGTGATAATTCTAGTATCACACGACAAGTAAATCATTCTATTCAATATGTACAATTTAATTGTCAACTTGTAATATGTAAAATACAATAGCTCATTATCGATTTTAATTTTAATCAACCGTAAACGCACTTTATCCTTCTCAACGAGAACAATTTATTGCAATCAAAATTGAACTATTTATTATCCAACATATCACATAATATGGATATGGATAGTATCATTATTATGAAGTGGGTTTTTTTAATATAAACAGACAAGGTGGATTGCATATAGAATACATTATTATTGATGAAGTTGGAGTCGCACCCACACGCTTACGAGACAAGGAATCTTCGTTAAGCATGTGGATTTCTATTTCTCCCTAGAGGTGCGCGATGTATTCTTTGATTGAAAACCTTCCTCCATTTAATTTCTGAGTTTGAATTTTCTTGTTTTGGTTTCAAATTGAGATTCGCGTAGAAACCTATGATTGATTACGTGCACTTTGCTTCATTCTCATGCCTAGCGCTGTTTGTGTGTGTCTCCTTTTTAATTTAGCTAGTAATGTGTTGTTATGTTCATGGGAATTTGGTTTTGGTACTTGTGTGTGTGCACTCGCGTGCTCAATCAAGCTTAGATAATTACCATGATTTATACTTAACCAAGATAATATAGCGATAGCTCTTTAATTTATTTCTTATATCCGTGTTAGGTACTGCGAAGGTTTAGAACCCTAATTTTCTTACCTATGACTATGAGTGAGACGTGTTGGACCACACTTTTAGCATTCATAGACACTGAGCAGACGTGTGTTAGATGTCATTTTTTTAGCATTCACTGCTATGATTTTAGAATCTTTAGTTTTTAAATCTACATAATGTTGTTCTGTACGCGTCTGTATGTGTGTATGTGTGTTTCTACCTCTCATAGATGCAGTGTTTGGTCAAAGGTTTTTTTTCCTAGTGTGAGGTAAATCTGCAATTCCAATTCATCACTGCATTTTCCTGTTTTGTGGTGAGAAATGAATCAAATGATTTAGAATTATGATGTTCTTGGACAGATTTAGCTTGTAAATTCGATGTTCTTGGTGTTGATTTGAATCTGAAGTGCTCATAATGGGGAATTTACTGAATCCAAACAGTTCCAAGACTAGATTGAGTGAACCCTGTGAAGTTTTGCCGGGTGAAGCTTGTAAGAGACTGAGAACCTCCTGTGAGGATAACTCGAGACTGATTCCCTCCCTTCCTGATGAGATATCAATTCAGATTCTAGCTAGAGTTCCTCGCGTTTATTATTTAAATCTCAAGTCAGTTTCTCGTGCTTGGAAGACAGCCCTTGTGAGTTCTGAACTATTTTGTTTGAGAAAGGAACTTGGAACTGCGGAGGAGTGGCTCTACATATTAACAAAGGTCAATGATGATAAGCTTTTATGGTATGCCTTGGACCCTCTTTCCAAAAGGTGGCAAAGGTTACCGCCAATGCCAAATGTTTCATTTGAAGATGAATCAAAGAAAGGTTTGGCTGCCTTTCCTCTTCGGATGTGGAGCAAGTTGGGTTCTAGTATCAGAATTGCTGATGTCATAATGAGCTGGCTTGGGAAGAGAGATGCCCTGGATCGAATGCCATTTTGTGGCTGCTCCATCGGAGCTGTTAATGGTTGCATCTATGCTTTAGGAGGATTTTCTGGAGCTTCAACTATGAAATCTGTTTGGCAGTATGATCCTGTTGAAAACTCTTGGATTGAGGCTAGTCCAATGCTGGTGGGTAGAGCCTATTGCAAGACAGGCATATTAAATGATAAGCTTTATGTTGTTGGGGGAGTTACAAGGGGTCGTGGTGGACTAAATCCCCTTCAATCTGCGGAAGTATATGATCCACATACAAGCACGTGGTCACAATTACCAAACATGCCTTTTGCAAAAGCTCAGGTGCTACCAACTGCTTTTCTGGCTGACTTGCTCAAGCCTATTGCCACGGGAATAACTTCATACAGGGGAAGGTTATTTGTTCCTCAGAGTCTGTATTGTTGGCCATTTTTTGTTGATGTTGGGGGAGAAGTTTATGATCCAGATACAAATTCTTGGCTTGAAATGCCAATTGGCATGGGTGAAGGTTGGCCAGCAAGGCAAGCTGGAACAAAATTAAGTGTTACTGTCAACAATGATCTATATGCACTTGATCCTTCAAGTTCTCTTGACTCTGCAAAGATCAAGGTATATGATTACGAAGGTGATACTTGGAAAGTAGTTGCAGGAGATGTTCCTATTCATAATTTCACTGATTCAGAATCTCCTTATCTTCTAGCTAGTTTACATGGAAAACTTCATGTGATTACTAAAGATGCCAATCACAACATCACAGTGTTGCAGGTTAGCATGCAAAATGATTTAGCTTCTTCGCAGCCATTGTTATCACCAGATAACTCATTTGGTGAACTGTCCGAATCATCCGCAGAATCAGAGAGAGAAATTTGGAGTGTTTTTGCTTCTAGAAGTGGTAGATCTGCTGAGCTAGTTAGCTGTCGATCCCTTAAAGTTTGATTATTTGGAGCTAAGAGTCCTCTTACGGTTTGGGTTTGGGTTTCGGATCATGTCTGTATTGGCCGGTTTGATTGCAGACAAGCAACAATGTTAATCATGACTTCAAAATTGTAAATGGTCCATTCTTCAACTGCGTGATTGATCCATAAGATGTGATTATTGGTCGGTTTGATTGCAAACAAGCAACAATGTTAATCATGACTTCAAAATTGTAAATGGTCCATTCTTCAACTGCGTGATTGATCCATAAGATGTGATTCCTTATTACCCTCATGTACAAATTAAAATTATACAAAAATATTAAAACATGGTACATCAGTACATCTAATCTGAAGAGTTTGCGAAACCTTTATTTACATTATGTCCTCATACAGTTTCATTTGGTCTTGTATCAATGTGACAAGTTCTATCTTCAATGGAAGGATGTTCTATTTCTTCTGTCATACGTTATAAGTTATAATTCCTGATATGCTCTCTTGCATACCATACTCGTTCCAAGTTGTTCTTTCTTGGTGGTTTCTTTCCTGAGAAAAGGTAACGTTGTTGGCAGACAAACCTACTCAACACGTACGAGCCATTGATGTGTTTGATAGATACTTTTAATGCTACCAATCAGACTCCGTCACCAGACAACTTTTATTTTATTAAGGCATCATGTAAATTTGAGTATGTAATGCAATTTGACATTTTACGAATTGGATAACTAGGATAACATGTTTAGCAGTGTTTCTCGCGTTCCTTGACAGAAAAGCCACATGTCACTATTAATAAACCCATTTTTTAGTAACTACTAATTAAGTAAAAAGAGAAGAGTATAAGGGAAATGAAAAGAGAGAGAATCCAGTCCTTAAATAACACTAGCAAGCTTTCTCATTTGTTAAACGTTTGTCCTGTAACTTCGATTTTAGAAAGGAGCAATATCATCAAAGTGAAAGTTGGAGTTACAGATATTTGTTTCACTTCAAAGAGGTGATATATTATAAGTAGAAGTAGAAGTATAATTCCTACGGGAATCCTCTTGCAAGTAGTAGTAAAGGCTTATATTTGCATCTCTGCTTTATTTTTATGCATAGATTAATGAGACTACAGAAGAGAATTAGTTTTCCTCCTGATAGAGAAGGTATTTGAGTCTTTGTGTGGCTTCAATGATGGAATCTCTTTGGCCGAAAGCACTAATTCTTACATACTCTTCACCTCCTGGACCAAAACCACTGCCCGGGACGGTAATTATGTGAGTCTTCTCAAGAATTTCGGCAAAAACATTCCAAGACTTCGAGCCAGGAAAATGGACCCAAACATAGGGTGCATTTTTACCCCCATATACTGTCAGACCCAGAGAAGTTAAAGCATCAACCAGTATTCTTGCATTCTCCATGTAGTAGTCAACAAGGGACTGCATGGCCTGAGAAATTTTCCAAGACATGATTTGGCAACAATCACACCATTGGCATAACAGTTTCATCGAATTCATGGTATGATAAATGCAATATTTAGAATTAAACATAGGAACTAGAGTTTGAATGAAACACAATCAAGAATTTTGACAAGTTATGCATATTCTTAGGAACTGGATTATTACCCTGAAACCCTCTGGGGAAAGGCATGCTAGTCCACCCGCTTGAGCTATGTTGGATGCTCCATTAAAGCAGGTGCACATTATACGGTTGAAATCGTGCACAACAGGGAAACCGTTTGAATATAAGAGTTCTTCAGGGACCACTGTCCAACCAAGGCGGACTCCTGTGAAACCAGCAAATTTCGAGAAGGATGACACTTCAATTGCAACCTGAAAGCTTAGGAAAAAACAAGAGATTAAGCTTGCTATTGTGGAAAATAATACATGATTAAAAAAAAAAATCATGCAAAAATAATGTGGGCATGTCACTAGGAAGAAGATTTGTAAGTTTGCCTTCATAAGAAGCCAGAAATGAGATAAATATATATATACACACACACACACACACTTTTACCACTTCACTCCATCCATCCAAATAAATCCTGAAAGATGAAACTAGATAATTCATATCACATTTTGATGCACCAATCATGTGTCAGAATTGAAAGGGTAGTGGTACAAGATGCTTGTGAAAACAACATAAAATAAAATGGGTCTTAGCTAGATAAACATGCACATGCATACCTCTCTGGCTCCAGGAATTTCGAAGATTGATTTAGGACTATCATCAGTGATATAAGCTGAATATGCAGAATCATAGATAATGATTGATCCATTCACTTTGGCCAAATCCACAAGTTGCTCTAATTGCTTCCTTGTTGCTGCATGACCAGTGGGATTGTTTGGAGAATTAAAGAAAATAAGTTGTGTCCTTGAAGTGGTATGAAGATCTGGAAAGAAGTCAGTTTGAGGCCCACATGTCATGTATTCTATGTTTTTATACTTGCCAGCTTTATCTACAAACTTGCCAGCCTGACCAATTATCACACTCGAATCTATGTAGGCCTGCCTCAGAAGAATTTGCTATGATTAACAACTCTTTTTCTTTGGTGACATACGCATGCATTCAATCTAAGAGGACTCTTAAACAACATGCATATTATAGTGAAAATATACAAGACTATACAATTCAAATGCAATCCAGCAAACACCACGATATTGCCAACAAATACTGAAATCTTGTCCCAATACTATACCATATTAGTAGATACATGAATTACACAGTAATTACAATACCGGAAAGGATGGATCCTGCACAGCTATCTTCAGATTGGGACCCATAAGCAGCTGTACATTTTGAGACAAATCAAATTCAGTACATTATATTACTGCGAGCACATAGCAAAGGAATTTACTTTATAAAGAGGATCAGATATTCTGATAGTAAGGCCTAATTCGTGCAGTAGGAAGGTGAAAAGTTTCTAAGATAAGGGAAGAAGAAAAACTAGAATACAACAAAAACATATGATTATGAAGTAGTATTGATGGAATACCTGAAGACGAGTAATATCACACTGTGCACCGTCTGAAACAAAAACCTCTGAAGGTTTTATTCCTAGATCTCTGTAAAATGCATCAGCAATTGCTTTCCTCAAGACCTGCAATGTTGTTTTGCCAGAATATATGCATTTTATTTTAATGAAGTATATTATAATGATCTACTATAACTCAAATAAGTGCATAAAGATAAATTTCTAGACTCGAAGTTAAATTGCATGTAGCCATGTATTTCCAATACAGAAGCAGTTTAAGAACTACTGAATATTGGGCCAAACTAATGCATAAAATGGTAAAAATAGAAGTTTCTATTATTTATATGATGATTTTATTTTTGGGGTCCTAATGAGAAAAATGTATTAATTGCTCAAAAAAGCCCCAACATACCTTTTCACCTTGCTCAGGTCCATATCCTTTATAACCTTTTGCTGTTGAAAGGCCACGCACAAACTGCAAAACACCATGTAAGTGCATATTATCTTAATAAAATCAGGGTCATGTCTCTCATACACCAATCCTATTGGTTATTACCTATCCTAATTCAAGAATTAGCTGAAATCCTTCGTCCTGAAATAGTAGGCTAGAAGGGCAAACAAGGTGGGGGGTGTTAAAACAACGTATCAAATACTTTATGGTTGATATTTCCAAAAAAGATAATGATATGATTAAAATATGTTTAACAATTATTTCATCTTTATATTTTTAGGAAATTTTGGTTTTAATTTTTTATAATTTTATTTCTTTATTTTTTTAAAAGTGAACATTTTTATTCTAGTAATTACTAAATTGTAATTTAACTAACAAAAAACTTCTCACGTGTTAATTAATTATCTGTGAGGCTACAATACTAAAAATGACTAAAACATTAAAATTACATAAATATTAAACCAAAATTATATATATATAAGTTAATTTTTTAAAATATAAAAATTATAAATATATAGAACCTAACTAATATGTGGCACGACTTATAATTTATATAAACAGTATTAAAACATTCTTAGAGGCACAAAAGTATCTGTACGGCTATTGAATATAGTAATTTGACTAACAAAAAGACTGTCACATGTTAATTATTTGTACAGCTACATTGCCAAGAATGACGAAAACATCAAAATTACATAAATATTAGACCAAAATTATAAATAAATAAATAAATATAAGAACTAAAGTTATTTTTTTTTAAATATAAAGATTGAAAACATATTTAAACTAATTAATACGTGGTACGACTCATAATTTATGTAAACAGTGTTAAAACATTCTTAAAGACAAATGCGGGCATATCTGTATGGTTTCTAGGCGCTTGCCCTATGAGGTGGCATATTAACTCTCAAAATCACTTATTTACATGCATCATATTCTGCTAATTCAACAGAAAAACCTTCATAACTTACATCAACCATGCTCGATGTTACAATTGTTGGTAAGGGTTCTGTAGTATCACCAATTCCAAGGTCTATTACTTCTGCATTTGGATGCATCTTTAAGTGCATAAGCTCGTGTCTTTCAATCTGATACAATCAGAATAGTCATTAGCTTTTAGCACATATAACATTCTAAGACATGTCATAGGACCAAGTGAATATCAAAAAGTGAGTAAAAATATTGGACTAATAATTCGAATTTCAAATTCCCAAAGTTTATTATCTTTTGACATTGCAAGAAAGAAACAAAAACATGAGACATTAACTGGCCCTCATATTTTTTTCCCATATTAGCAATGTAAATTGTAAATAGTTAAAATGAAACTAATTGCACAATCTGTTCAATTGAGAGGGTAAAACAATTTTTGGAACCTGTATTTAGATTAGATAAACATGATTCAGATGAACAATCAAGAAAAGGGAATATTATTCAGAAGCACCTCAGGAAATAAATAACCATGTTGCAGTTTCTCCATGTTTACATTCCGAGGTACCTTTGTGCAGTGTCCTGCACGTGATAGTTATAATGACATGTCTAACTCTTAGGCGAACAAAGAAACTAAATCCACTAAAAAAAAAAAATAACCACACAAGTATGAATTATGTGCATACCAATGCTCACTTTTTGATTCTTCAATGTGCATGTCAGCCTGTAAATTATCATTTGGATTCATTTGTCAATTATTCGAGACCTAATGTTGAAATGCAAGAGGACACAGAAAATGACTTAAGGTTATTGGTATAAGTTAACATTGTCTAATTATGTTTTACCTTGCAACTACCATCCTAGGCAGCAAAACATCAGTACTAAACATAAAACTGCAAATTGATAATTTGTACATTTAGACCTGATTTCTCTATTCTCCAACCAGAAACTACTTTAAGGCTCTGGTTCTTATTTCATATACTAGTAGCACTTGTGCCAGTTACCCATAATGACATATTTATACTATTAGACAGGTCAATCAACAAACTAAGAGCTATCTATTGATGTATGTCTACACCCTCTCTAGCTAACACAAGCAAGAAAGTGAGTTCCCATAGGTCAATTTTAACAATTCCATTTTCCACACCTCACCTAATTTTATACTTTTCTATTATGTCTCTATTACAACTATCCTATCATTTAAAATGCTAGGAAAATGGACTGAGAATCTTTCTTTTTTACCTCTTTAGACTACTTTGCACATTATCCTTCAAATTTAAATTTAAAAAACTTAATCAGCTTAAAATGCTGTTCTACATGTGGCACATTTCCAATGGAGAGGACCTTTTCCTTCTACATAAAGATACATCTGTATCTGTAAAATAATGCATTCTACACGAGAAAAATAGTGCTACCAGGACTTAGTAGAAACCATTTTGGATCACATGCTACATAACACTGAATGTAATCTTCCTAGAAAAAGAAGCAAACAAGCATTCATTAATAATGTCAATTAATGTAATCTTCCTAGAACACTGAATCTTGACAGCATCTTTGCATGCAATATCTACACACAAACCGTTCCAAACATCAGTGGAAAATCTTATCCCACTTTTGACTAATAAATACAATACAGATTGTGGTACAACTCTAACATGGAAAATATGATAAAAGAAACTACGAGGAAAATGATTTCTTCCCATAAAAAAAAAAAGAAAAAAAAAGAGTGATACAAAGCTATTTGGAATTTCTTAACTAATAAAGACACGTCTCAATTGAAATAATATATGTGAACAGAAGAAGATGTTGGTGTTGCTTCAGCAATCAAAACCCCTATAATGTTTCAAAATTTGAACTGAATATTAACTCAATTAAAACCCCTCCTACTGGTTGTTGAGCACCATCAAAAGCCATTAATTTAAAAATGATAAATAAATAAGGAAGGAGCAGTGGAAGTCAAATTATAAGCAAAACCAAAGTTTTATGTTCTTAGTTCCACTTGCTTCGGGAGAAAAATTTACGGGTAGTTATTAGATATCTTTTTATGCTATTGTTAAGTTTAAACTTTTACTTTAAGAACTAATAATAATTTTAAACACCAACCTTTATTATATAAATTATTAATATAAAATTTTAATTGAACATGAATTCAAAAAACATTTAACAAGCTTTTTTAAAAAAAATTTCATTCTTTCAGTGTTTTCAGTTTAAGATAAATCATTGTATTACACAAAACCAGACCAGAAATAGATTGGTCAACTGAAAATTAATATAAAAACGATATATTTTTTTGTCAACAAATACATATGAAAAAAATAACGATATCTAGTTATCATTTTTTTTCTTTCTACAATGTGAACCGAATAGAAAGTGATCCAAAGTAGGCCTGGCTAGTGTGAAGTTCATTGATTGTTTGAATGAAAAAAGTCAAACCCATGTTCAAATTCTGCACAATTCATTACATTTTCCTTTAAGAATAGAAGAAGCCAGAGGATGAATAAAACAAAATGTGTTGCCAGCATCAAAGCATTCCCATCAAAATAATTCAGAAAAAAAAATGTGCACTTATTTTTTTTTTAAATGATTATATTCACTATTTCTTTATTATATGTATAATTTGTCTGCATTTTCAATCATTTATTATATATATATATATATGAAATTTTTTAACATTTGTAATCTTATATAGGATAAATCTCAATAAATACATCACTTACATTCGATCTGAACTTTTTATTTAACTACATTTAACATGTTATGATTTATTACTTTACTAGTTGTTAAATGTAAACTAAATAAAAAGCTTAAATTGAGTAAAAAAAATTTTAGACTTACACTATTATAAGAAGATTATATATATATATATATATATATATATAACAAAAAGTAATAATTTAAAAAATATTTATTTTTAAATTCAATTAACTTTTATTAACTTATTTATTATTAATAATTTTTTAAAATAGAAGATTTTTTTAGCATTGTAGTTAAAAAAGTGACCTAATCCATGCATCAAAATTTATCTAATTTATATTATTTCTAATGCTTAAAATAATATAAAAATTATTAAAAAATCATTAAAATAAAAATTGAAAATTTTAACCCATTTTAATTTTTTTACAAATATTTTTAATATAATTCAATTTTTTTACATTTTTTTATCATTTCTTTCCTTCTTATTTGAACTTGTCCCAACATCAAATATTTTTTACTCTAATTTTACTTTATTTCTCACCCTCGTATTTCATATTGCATCCAAACAGAACTTAAGAAAAAGAAGAGACTTCAAAAGACGCATGATGAAAAAAAAAATCAAATATTTTATCTTTTAATGTTAGAATAGTGATGATAAGCGGAAACATCAACAACATAACCATTAAGAAATTGAATAATAATGTTTAGGTATTTATCTTTATCATGTAAAATATATTTATTATGTTTATGGATGTTATTTTATCTTATTTTCATAAATGCAATTTTTTTTTATTTACATGGCAATAATTTTTTATTTTCCATTAAGTTATATTTAAAAAATGAGATTTATCATGACTGTGATTCTTGAAAAGGTTTACAAAATACATTTTCCATTAAGTTATTTAAACTTTTTAGGAATAATATATTTACTATTAATTTTTATACAAAGTTTAGAAATTTTACGCATAATTATTATGAGAAAGATTTATTTTTCACCTATAGAAGTGAAACTGTTCTATTCTACCTAATTCATAAATCAGTATTATAAGAAAACTATAGTTCTAAATTATATTTTTATTATCTTCCAGTAAATATGAAAACTTTTTTTTTCTCAGAAATATAAAAATTTTGTAGTATATTCTTTCGTATGTGTGCATCTATCTATGTATCAATGTATTTAAGATAACTTACATTCATACCCTTTAAATTTTAATGAAATTACATTAAATATCGTATCGTCTTTACATTATTTTGATATTTGATAATTTACATTGTGTGGATACACAATATTATGTTGTTATGTAAGTTAGAGAAATATTTATACAAAATAAAAAAATAAAAGATATTTTTAAATTTTAAGTAATGTAAATATAATTTATTTTATATTTATGTATAAATATTATTAAAATGACAAGTATTTATGTATAACAAGAAGGGATTGAGTCTGTGTGTACGCAAAAAAAAATTTCAGTGGTTGACTCATACATCACATTTATAATGTTCTCCTATAATACATATAAAAAATATATTTTTCAACTTTGAATTATTTGTTCATTATTTAAATTCAAATAATCAAGACAATGAATATTTTTGTCTTAATTATTCTAGTCTTCCATAAATAGTCATAAAATTAATTTTGACACATATAGGTTAATGCAATTATATAATTATATACAAACACTATTTAGAAGCACTTAAATAATAATGTTTCTAAACACAAAACAGGCTGGATCTGATTTCCCTATTTTGAGAGAAATGTTTTTCTTTTTGGCTGAGAGGGAGTGATCACATAATTTAATCCTCTAAGTTATAGCTTTGTCCCATTATCTCAATTGGATATTTATTTCTTGAATTACTCTTAAAAAATAGAACAATTTCCTTCTTAACTATTTTGGGTTAAGAAGACATGAAAGTGTCTATCTGTATTTTAAAGTATGAAGTGGGAGAGAAAAGATTTTATAATTAAAATTTTGAATAAAAAAGATTAATGTAGAAGCAACTTTTAACATTCTAATATTTTTAAAATAAAAATTATATTTATATTACAAAGGATACAATAAAGAGGGAATTAATTAAGAAAGAGAAAAAGAGAGAGTAAAGTGTGAGATAGTTGATGTGATAAACAAAAATATAAAATTATTATAAACATAGTTATCATTTTAAAAATAATTATGTTAAATGTTCTTTTGAAATAAATTAGTTTAGACAAAAAAAAATATAATATTTGATAAGTTTGTATGATTATAAAACTAATTAAATATTATACACAAATAAGTATTATATTAATATTTTAATAAAAATATTATTTACATATATAGTATTATGTTAAAAAAATATAAATATACACATATTATATATATATATATATATATATAATATTATGATAAACAGAGAAAGATAAAAGATACTCTAATTAAAAATAATTTTATTATAATTAATTAAAGAAATGAGTGTGAGATAGTATATGAAAATAATATAAAATTTGAAGAAAAATTTAATGTAAGTGATGAATTTTGTAATTTCAACAAAAGAAATATATATTTTTTGCATAAAATTAAAAATATGTAATTATTGATAATTTGACTAAAAATAATATAAATAATAAATTAAATATTATAAATTTTATAAATATAAATATAAATTTTTATGAAAAATATTAAAGACGATTTCATAAATGTAGATATAAGTATTATAAAAAAAAATAAAAGTTATATAAGATAATAAATGTAAAAATAAGTATTCGTGAAAATTTTGAAAATTTATAGAAGGTTATAAAATATTAAGTAATAATTTTAATCTTTAAAATTTAAAAATAAATTTATAAAAATGTGGATATAAAATAATTATTATAATTAAATAGTACAATTTATATATTATATTAAACAATTTTAATCATAGATTAAATTATATACGTGATTGAATTATAAAAGAGACGAGTCCTTCTGGTGTAATAAAATTGCATTTGTATTTAGAGATTAGGTTGATAATATAAACAGACTTTGAAAAAAAGTAAACTTGATAAGAGACAAAATCGATTAGGAACTTCGATTTATTTTTTATTTTTTTTCAAAGGGTAGGAACTGCGATGAATAACATGGCATATATAACTAGGCCCATAATAAAATAGCCCATTTATACTTCAAAAAGGAAAAGGAGCAAGCGTCGTAACGACGCGAGGTCGTAGTATTAAATTGATACGCTTGCCCGCACTCAAACAAAACCCATTCTTTCACGTTTTCTATACTCCTCCCTCCAAACTATTAACAGCGTTTTTCTCTATTTATTATTTATTTATTTTTTGTCTGCAAAATTTTGTGGGAGAAAGTTGAGCGAGAAAATTCGGAAATGTCGAATTTCTTGAGCAGCACTAATCCAAACCCTAACAAATCGTTTGAGGTATCTGAAATTTCCTAAACACTGTTCCTCTTTAGTGAGAAGCAGCTTCCGCAATGCTAGTTGTCATCATTGTTTGGTGAATTTTGCAGGTGAATCAGCCTCCCACTGATTCCGTTTCCAGTCTCAGTTTCAGTCCCAAAGCGAACTTCCTCGTGGCCACTTCCTGGGACAACCAGGTTTTTCTTTCTCTTCGTTATCCTCTTCTTGCTATTGCTACTATGCTATGTCTTCAATTATTTTACTCTTTCTGAATTCTTTTGCAGGTTCGTTGTTGGGAAGTAGCACGGAATGGTAACAATGTTGCCACTGTGCCCAAGGCTTCTATAACGCATGATCATCCGGTAAGGTATTTAAGTTTTATCAACTTATCATTACCATTTAGTACCTTGTATTATGCATATATTTTCATGAGTTTGCGTTCTGGTATATGCAAGATTGTCTAAATTGGGAAATGAAAGTAGAAGAAGATTGTATAACGCAATGCATTGACCATTAAGTAGATTAGGCTGATAAATGAACAGTACTTGGCTATTGGATATTGATTCTTATTATAGACTATGGTTTTCATGATCTTTCTGATTTACTTTGTCCTGAAGCAGTTAGATGTTAATGTAGTTTATAGGTCATAAATTGATAATGCATATTTCTTTGCATAGGTTTTGTGCTCTACATGGAAGGATGATGGCACGACCGTCTTCTCTGGGGGATGTGACAAGCAAGTGAAGATGTGGCCTCTATTGTCCGGAGGCCAACCAATGACTGTTGCCATGCATGATGCACCCATAAAAGAAATTGCTTGGATTTCTGAGATGAACCTTTTAGTCACAGGAAGCTGGGACAGGACTATGAAGTAAATTCTCTAGCATTTGCTGCCTTTGCATTTTTTTTAAATTATATCATTAGAATATATGAAATGTATCTCTAATTATCAATATTACATTATATCTTAGAATATTTTAGAGTATATTAGGTTTCCATCTTGGAATTAGTTTCCATATTTCCTTAGTAGTTCATGATTTGTTTCCTAACTGATTTGAAGTTAGAGTTTAGTACGAGTATAAAGGGGATTAGTGTTGTGTCTTTTGTATCAAATTCATTTTGTCATTATACACAAGAAAATATTATTAAGAATTTGTATTTCCGCTTTGCTTCTTTCCATACCTACCCTATAATTTCAACATATCAAAGTGGTACCTTCTTCAATGACCTGTCCTGTCTATTTTGCTGTTGAGGTCTTTGAAGTTTGGAACTATTTCTGCTTCAAATTCTTTTTTTTTTTTTTTTTGAATAATCTGTTGCTGTCCTGTCATTTGAGCCACTGCTGTCAAGGCTGGATAATTGGTCTCCTTACCTTCAACCATCAAGGTGAGGGCTTGATCCATCTCAGAACTCTCAAATTAGTTTGCCCATCTGCTGCAGCATCTTTCAGGCAACCTCCTAGAATTTGCCTTCGACAACTTATCCAGTGAGCTTGCCATCTGGCAACCCTACCATCTGCCTTATCTTGTCCAAATTTTCCCTTTCCCTAAATCCCAAGCCAATTCAATTACCTTCACATGTGCTGTCACATGTCAGTACATTCTGTTTCATCCCAACCGTCTGGTATTTGTCATGATGTTTTCTTATCGTTGACAATTATTCTGGTGACCTCTTTCTTAGCCATGAGTCATATGGTGGTTGTGATTGATACACCAACCTCCATTGCCACTGATTTGTCATGCCAGTGTTGAATTCTCCATAGCTGTAATGTACACCAACCTTGGTTTCAAAATTGAATTTCAATTTTTTATGGTTTTCTTTTTTTTTTTTTGGTGTGGATTGAAGCTTCCAAATGCCATTCTTGCTTAATTTGGAGAAGTTTTAGCTTTTGCAGTGTTTAATTTGCTTTCCATGAGATTTTCGCTAATGATTAATCTAAGAGAGTCTCTCCTTCCCTGTTTATGTGACAGTCCAACCAGCTTGTCCAGCTGTTTTTTGTTCCATGCATCATGTGTTGTCTATTTTCTTTGTTCTATAACTCATCATTGCTCATTATAGATTTTGTATTTGTGGTAGCATATGTATTGTATCTTTTTCCGATGATTAAATACGGTGTGAGGCTCACTATTTTGCTTGATCTGGCTTCACATGATTTTTTCTGGCTACTTGTAGATACTGGGATACAAGGCAATCAAATCCAGTGCACACACAGCAACTCCCAGAGCGCTGCTATGCAATGACTGTGAGACATCCTCTGATGGTTGTAGGCACTGCTGATAGAAATCTCATTGTTTACAACTTGCAAAATCCTCAGGTAGTTCTTTCATTCAAATTTAGTTCATCACAAATTAATCATGATTTCCATTGTTTGTATTACCTTTTAGTCATGTATTTGCTTATTATGGAATGACTATTTTATCTCAAGATTTCAGGAAGGGGTTGTGTTTCTTTTTCTTGCATATTGAATAATAAAAGAGGAACTTTATTAAAGAGAAGAAAAGAAAATCACATGAGGATAATAAATCATCTAAAAGAAAGAAAAGAGACATCCCAATTTCAGGGCCTGTGATGTACTAAGGATTCAAAATCCTTACCTGATAAACATATTAAGTGCCATGTATTTGTTCATATAATCCCAGTTATTGTCGCAGTGCCAAAATTTCAAATAGCATGATTTTACTGGAAATAGGACAGAGCCTCCCTTAAAATTGAAGACTTCTCACCATACAAAACAAACTTTAGGCTCTATTTTTGCATCAAAACATACATCAAAAGCAAGGGTTTTTGGCTCCACCAATATGTTAAGTACAAATATGACATAACTGATATGTAGACATGCTATTATGCAATGAGACCTATTCCTATGATTGTGAAGCACTTGTGCCCATGTAGTCAAGTGAACTCCTTTGGATTGATTTGCCTCACCAGAGAAGAGAGCAAGCTCACAGAGCTGGGGTTGCAATTGGTGAGCAAGCTCAAAAGCAATAGAAAGGAAGGAATAAATTTTCCTGTTAAATGAGTAATATAGGCATCCCCAAACCCCTAACCTAAAGAGCATGAAATTTTACATATAAATATATAGCATGCTTGACATAATTTTTGCAATGGTGAAAGAATTAAAGGATATAAATACAAGGCTTAATATATTTTTGGTTCCTCAAGATATTCCTCATATTGATTTTGGTCCTTCCGACATTATTTTTTTAATTTTAGTCCTTACACTTTAAAAAATTGTTGGTTTTAGTCTTTAATCACTATAAAATGATGACATAGCTAATTCAAATATTACCATGTGTCAATTTTTGTGTCACATATCACTTCTTTATTTAGCAACATTAGTCAAAGGGACAAAAATTAACAGTTTTTTAAAATGTAGGGACTAAAACCAAAAATAATTTCGTAAGATCTAAAATAGAAAGTTGGTACATTTTGAGGGACCAAAATATATTTAACTTTAAATATAATAACATCCAAAAAAAAAACTCATTCAGTTCACAGGTTAATCAAACTGCTGATATTTGGAATTGTACTAGGCAAAATTAAATTACCAGCAGATCACCCGCATACTTCTACTGTTGCATCAGGCACCCAAGTTGCATATTCAATAATTTGCAGGTTCAAATAATATTTTGATAAGAATCTTGGAAGAACCATATCACAAAAGCTATCTTTTGTGGTGTGGTTCTCCCATTATCAATTGGTATTAGCCTTCCATCATGTCTCCCAGCTGCAAGCAAGTGGCTCAGGGGCTAGTGCACAGCTAGCACGCATGAGCTCCAAGGTTGCAAAGTGTGGTGGGATGTTAGGATACTTCAGTCTCACATTGGAAGTATGAGATTCTAATATGGGGTTTATAACACTTTGGGCTCTCCAACTACAATAGTTAACTTTTGTGGTGTGATTCTCCCAAGGTTCTAATCATATTTTCCCCGACATCAGGCATTCCTCGCTTATAAGAACCTATAACAGAAGTTTAGCCTCAAGCATTCCATTGAGGTATCAGGCAAGATGCATCCCTTGCATATAAGAACATCTAATAGAAATTTAGCCTCAAGTACTTCCACCCAGGCATCAAGTACATCTTTCTTATTAGAATGTCATAGCAAAAATATGTTAGAACCATGGCGGAGGAGCAGATGATTGATATCAATAAGAGAACTAAAGTGTGGTGGGTTTATGTTAGGAGGAAGGGTAGAAAAGAATCAGTTATTAGTTAGTTTGTTAGCTGATAATATAAATAGAGTTAATTTCGATTGAGGGACTTCTTTTGCTTGGTTATTGTTTTTGGGAGAATTTCATTCTTTGTTCAGGAGCTATTAGCTCTAGGGGATTCTTTGTAATCCAAATTCTTTCTAAGTAATCAATAAAACTATAATTTTTCTCCTATCTTTTCATTGATTTCACTTTTGAACCCTAACAAAATATGGCCACAATGCGGTTCCAAAGAATCTCTTATGTTGTTTGCTTTATTATTGTAGGATGATTGATTAACAATATAGTGGTGCTTAGTTTAGACAACGGTGGGATTGGGAGGATTTTACCTTTTTAACTATTTGACTGATTTTTGTCTTTGTTGGTTGCTTGTTTGAATCCAAGTCGGTTGGCCTTTTGTATTCTATTTCATATTCCATTGTGGGCATTTATATATACGATTAGTCAATTATATCAATGTGTTAATGTTCATATATTTACAGACTATTCATTCTGTTGATTATTATTTTCATATTTTCAGTTTTTGCAAGTGCCTCCTAGCTTTGATCATTGTTCATTTGCAACAGGTTGAATTCAAGAGAATTGTTTCACCCTTAAAGTATCAAACAAGGTGCCTTGCTGCATTCCCTGATCAACAAGGTTTCTTGGTATTCATCATTCCCCACTTCTTTTATTTACATCTTTGATCTCCTTTTCTGTATTTGGGTAGTCTTGTTTTCCATCTTCATTTTATCAGTGAAAGCAATATTCAATTTTTCACAATATTGTGTTCTTATTTAGTATCCATGGATTTATTTTCTGTTGTTTTCATAATTTATGTATCCTTAATCTCTGATTTATGAGAATAATGTGCAAAATGTCTTCCGGGTTTGCTTTATGGTGCAATATCAACTTGTAAATTGCAAGTTTAGATTGATTAATTTAGGCTGTTGAAACTGACAATATACTTGCTGTAGGTCGGATCAATAGAAGGAAGAGTTGGGGTGCATCATTTGGATGATAGTCAGCAGGGTAAAAACTTCACTTTTAAATGCCACAGAGAGGGGAGTGAAATATATTCAGTCAACTCTTTAAACTTCCATCCTGTAAGATTTATGTTCTGTCTGTGACTTATTTTTCTAATTTAATTTGGTTTACTTATATTGTTGTAGTTGCACTGTTATATTTCATTTCAGCAAGACCTTTTCACTTTTTTCTTCTTTCTAGTAAATGGTGGGTGTTAAATTTCTCCTGGTTGTGACTTGCTAATTTTGGGTTTTTATTATTAATAATAAAGAAGCTAAGAGCAGTCTTCTCTTCAGCTTAAAATGTGGTACTTATATTCATGCTGTTGTACAATATGTATTTAGTAATAGAATTTCATTCACATTGTTACTTTCTCTTTTTTGTTTACCTATTTGATGTAATGTGCTATATGTGATGAATTATTATTGCCAGGTGCTGGTTCTGAAGTTATTAAAATTGTAAATGGCTATATTGAAAATATCCTTAGGCATATGGTGAAGCTGCTAAAACAGACTTTATATTGGTCTTGAAAGAAACTACATATACCAAATACTAGGAGAATATGCTTCCAAGGGCTTGTTTGATTCTCTTTTCAATTTTTAGTTTTAAAAATCTGTTTAAAAAAGTTGGCATCAGTTTTCCAGATGAAAAAGGTAAAAAAAATGTGTTTGATAAACTTTCATTTTCAGAATAGTCACCTTCCCTTCAAACTGTTGTCTTCTTCACCTCAGTTATCCAGTAAGTGGATTGAGAGCCAATAACAAACAAGAGTCTATTTGTTGGTGAAGGTTGGAAGTGACAAGGGCTTTACAGAGGGACTAATGGTAGGGTGAAGAAAAAGGGTGTGAGGGAATGGTGATCAGGATCACATCGAGCATTTCGGGGTCATAAGATACTGTTTTAGTTTATTCAAGAAACAGTGGTGGCGTTGGAAGAGCCAACAGCGAGAACCTTGCTGTCAGGGATGCTGAATGCTGATAACAACACAACTTTTGGTACAAGACAGGGCTTTGTGGATGTCTGAGTTTGTATATGATAATGAAGAAGAATGAAGCACCAATGTTAGGTTACCAGCAACAACAGTGGAACATCAGTGCTGGGTGCAGAAATATGGGAACGAAGATGAAATATTGATATGTAGTTTAATTTAGAAAACAGAAAACTGATATGTTTTCAAATTTTGATCTTAAAAACTAAAATAGAGAGAGTGTTTTTAAAAAGTAATATTAACAAGTTAGAGTATGTTTGTTTCCCTTTTTAAAAACAGTTTTCTGATTTTAAAAATAAAAAATAATACAAATTTGTCTTGAAAATATGTTGTTTTACTTTTAGAAGTTATTAACATGTTATTAAAATTGCAGTTTACCTATCTACATGAAATTGTGCCAAATTGCCAAAAATGCTCAATGTTATTGTTTTGGTTCATGAATTTTTTATTTTTATAGAATGTAGATTAGTTGTGTCGTAATAGAAAGAAAAAAACCCTTCAACTTCTTCAGTATCATCTACCCTGTAGTTGTGGAATTCCAGAGAAACTTGTATGCTGTATTTTGTTTTTACAAAAGCACTGCTGACTGCTATGTATTTATTATTTGTCAGTTTCCCTAAAATTTTATATCAAGTACGAAATTCTTTTTTGGTGCTATTGCACATTTATTCATAATTTCTGTTTACCTCTAGACCCGATGGACATGAAAAAATAACTAACAAAGTGTATCCCACTTTGGTCTATTATCAATTCTCACATTACTTTTCTACTTTTTTAGGTACACCACACATTTGCAACTGCTGGTTCTGATGGTGCTTTCAATTTTTGGGATAAGGATAGTAAACAGAGGCTCAAGGTCATTCCATCTTTATTAAAACTTCCATTCAATTCCTATCCGACACATTGTAGTGATACTTTGACATAATACAAGCATATCTAATGCAAACATCTCTTATTTCAGGCCATGTTAAGATGCAGCCAACCTATTCCTTGCAGTACCTTCAACAATGATGGTTCAATATTTGCTTACTCAGTATGCCCAACTTACTATTTTGCAAATATTTGCAGCCTTGTATAAAGAAGTTATTGCACCACTTTTTAATTTTGCGCATATAATTTTTTTAGTGGTGGAAATTGGGATTTCTTTCTTCTGCTGCTTTATCCCCCTCTTGTTTCAATTGATTATAAGAATACGTTGAAAAAGACCCTTGAGCACAACATATTGGTTAGAGGATGCCAAAATGCAAGATAATTGTATGAACTTTGAAAATAGGTTAGTAAAGGGGAAGACAAAAAGTGATGTAGATTTATAAAGAAATTGCAAGAGTGGATATCTCTATTTTGTTACTGAGCAACTTACTTTTGAGAGTTTCTTCTTCTTCCCAAACATTATACTCTTGAGGGATATCTTTACAAAATGCAGGTGTTTTTTTTTTTTTTTTCTAAGGGGGTGTGGGGTGTGGGTGCAGATCAAACATCATTTTACTTGCTTGCTATAGCTGATAGAATCTAATTAGGGAGAAGATGAGAGATTAAGATACATTTTGATGCTCATCTGTATTAGATATCTCTAAATTTATCTACAACAACGAAGTCTTATAGCCCCTAGGTTGGGTTTGACCACATGTATCAGTCAATGCCATTGGGTTTAAACTCTATGGCTATCAATCTGAATGAATCTTCAATCTCAAGCTATATTCTGTCATACAACATAGATATGTATGTTCTAACTTGTCTGTTGATATTAATGGGTCTAGGTATCGAGGGAGAGAATAGAGAGAAGAAAGAGTGTAATACTATTATGTAATGAATTGTATTAAAATTTATTAATGTGTTTGATATGTTCATAAAACCTTGATCACTAACTCTCCTTTACACTAATCATAACATTATCCTAACTAATTAGGAAAACAAATCGTAATAAGATGAAATATGAATACTAATCCTAAGAATTAACTAGGTCTAGGAATCGGGGAAACAAATTCTGGAGGATAATCCAAGATACAATTAGATATAAGTTTTCTTTTTGTATATTCTAACATTGTGATTATTATATTGGCACTGGCTGTCATAAGCTGTAATTGGCTACATCAATCAAACAATGCCATAATTTTATATTGTAAACAATGTCTATAAACAAACTATTGACCTCTAAAAATTTATATAATTGAATAATTCTAGTATAACCAATTTTTATGTCTTCCATCTTCTATACATGATTATTGTTAGACTGTATGTGTGGGGAAAGCAAAGGAATATCGCCCCCCTCCCCCATCCCCCATCCCCATTTTGTCCAGGTCTAAATTGACCTTGTGATGCTTCTGTTGTCATACAAATGTGTTAAATGGTTGTTAAGTTTTTTCACCTTTATGATACTAATCTTTTGGAAATTTCTGTTACATTACTTTCTTTTGAGCAATTATTTCATAATATGTGGTTCATATTTGCTGATAAAAGGTTTTTGAATTTAAAAGGCCAGGTGAATAATCTGGTCATATTGGTTACCTCAAAGGAAGTGTTTCTATGATTTCAATGGTTTAAACATGTTGAATTGATTTATTGGCATCCTGCTTATAGGTCTGCTATGACTGGAGTAAAGGGGCAGAAAATTATAATCCTGCAACAGCCAAGACCTACATTTTCCTGCACTTGCCCCAGGTATTGGTTTGGCTATCCACATCTTGAAGAAAATCCTTTAATCATCTGGTCAATAATGTGGAAATTATATTCATATGAAATGCAGGAATCTGAGGTTAAGGGCAAACCTCGCATTGGTGCTACTGGTAGAAAGTAGGAGATGATCCTGCTCCGGGATATTGTTCTATTATGTATATAGTTGGCTAATGTTGGTATATCATGGAGGCAAGGTATTGGTTGATATCGAAATATAAAAGCGGGCTGGGCTGTGCGTACTTGGAAAAAATTATCAAAAAATGCTTGATGAAAAATTGTCTCCAATGTATGTATGTGGTGGGTGTATTTGGTTTGTATTTTGCCAGTTATAAGATCGAAGTTGTCTGTTTTATACAGTGAAGCACCTGCAAGTAGGATTTTTCGTGGTTCTGTAAGAAATTGGACGGTTGTAGCATATGATTAATTGTCAAATTTGGAACTGTAGGGTTTAGAAAATAGCGACTAAATTTAGTAGTATAAAGGCTTTACCCTTCCAGCATCTTTATTTGCGAGAATTATATGGATGTTCGTTCATTTAATTCATTTATGTTGAAGGTATCTTGTGATTGCCAGATAGGTCACAAAATTTCGTATACGCTAATGAGTCTTGCAACACGAACTGATTTGCTGTTGCCTCCTGGCATTTTTTATCTTTTCGATTTTTTTTTACAAGCTGAGTACAATTGTGGATTATATCCCACTGCAATGCACCTAAACTATCTTTTCCTTGCTGCATCGATCTTGGTTATTTAAGTCGGTGCTTTCAGTTAAAGATTTTTGGATCTTCTAAACTGCACGGTTCTAATTAGATAAAGTCCTCTGGAGTAACAACTCTTCTTAACTCCTGGCATTATCAATGAGACCGCTTCTATTTGAACTAATCGTGGTTGGGCATAATTTATGTATAACTGGAGAAACTAATCGAAAAAAAAAGAAGAAAATTCCATTTAAAAAGGTTCGTTCATATTCTTTATTATCCTTCAATAAATAATAAACATTCAAACCAATATAAGTTTTAAAATAACGTAGTCATAGTGAATATATGTATGTTTGCAGGGTAGATTATGAAGGCATCAGTGAAAAATTATTGGATACCAGGCTATCAAAGTCGATTCTACCGTTCTCTAGCCTAGTGGATGTATTAATCAATTTAGGTCCTAAACATGATTTGCCTGCCAGAATATGAACCAAACGGGGCTTAGTATTTGGAGCAACATCATCTGTAATTCGGAATGACAGATTCTAAACAGAAATTGAAAACAGAAGGATTCAATGACCATCAGAGATATATTTCCACTAATAATAAAATGCAATGCAATGTCTAACAAGGTAGGAACCGACTCAAGTACTACTGATTTCCAAATCCACAGAAATAACCACTGAAATATATTTATCCGAAAACGACAATAGAATTGCATTTTTTATTTCCATAAAACTCTACACTAATTTCTCATACATACAATGACAAAAGTGATGGTTGATTGTGACATACACTTCATCCTGCAACTTGACAACCCAACAGAAATGACAAACTTCTTTCTTTAATAATCACAACCTAATCAATGGGCATGTAATCTGAACATAGACGATAATTTCAAAAAGATGAAAACAAGCGAAAAGGTTGAGGTGAAAATCATATGCACAAATTGGAAGTATCTCTCTTTCCAACAGAAAGCATTGCCAGGCAGGATTGCGTATTCACTTGTCCATAGACTGTTAAAGGATCATCTAGGACCTGATAGTTCATCTGGCTGGATATGTGAAGTTGAATCTACTATCCAATTTGCATTTGGATGATGCATGTTGTTGTTAAAATCTTGCCGGAACATCTCATCTTTCTGCCATTGCTCCCATTTTTCCGCCAAACCATCACCTTCTAGCATTCTGACCACCTCAGACATCTTTGGTCTTTCCACGGGGGAGCCTTGTGTGCATAGTAAGGCCACTTGGATTAACTGTTCTACCTCGTCATCACTATAATTGCCCTGTAAATCTGCATCTACCAGTGTTTCCAATTTCTTGTCTTTGAGAAGTCCTTTAACCTGGACTCAACAATGTCAGTTTTCAACAATGATTAGTCACTCATTGGTGTTAATATTATATATGACCGAATTAACAGCCATGAAAGAGTTTCTAGAATTTGACAGAAATAAAAAACCAAATCAATTTGTTGCACTATAACTTTGAAGGAAATGCTAGTTCTATAGCAATAAATAATCATCACAGACAACAAAGGAGCTCCTCTAACGAAATGAGATTATCAGTTAGACCTCTTCAAGAAACAACAAAGCACAGAAAAATATCTTTTTCCCCTTTTTCTTCTTCAATCTCAATACTTTCCAGAAAAATACACAAGACAGTTAATTGAATTCTTAATTCAGTATAAGGTGAATTTTCCTTGGTCTCCAAAGGGACTCTAGAAAACATGAATAAAAACAAAATAAATATACAGCACTCTAAGCTATATAATTTCTTGAGCATAAGGAACCATGAGAAGTGATTAATAGATAATAAGGTTAGCATCAATTGTTCAAGTACTAATGACATATTTAGAATAAACTGAATACCGACCCAATCAAGCAACATCACATCATCATCATTGGCAAGACGTGCTAGATCAAAAGCCCTCTGTCCAGTTATTAGTTCAAGAAGCATCACGCCATATCCAAAAACATCAGTCTTCTCTGAAGACTTTCCAGTTGAGAGGTATTCTGGTGCTATATGTCCAATTGTACCACGTACAGCAGTAGTAACATGAGTATCTTTGTAATCCATAAGTTTTGCTAAACCAAAATCTCCAACAACTGCTTCAAATTCCTCATCCAACAATATGTTTGCAGCTTTGACATCACGATGAATAATCTTAGGGTCACAGTGATCATGTAAATAAGCAAGCCCCCTAGCAGCTCCCAGAGCAATACACTTCCGTATTGGCCAGTCAAGTGGAGGTTGGGATTCATGACGTTCTACAACAATACAATCAACATTAAACACAGTTTTAATATAAAACTGGCAGTTTTGAAATTTGACAGAAAGAACATTCATTTGCAGATTGATTGTTTGTGTAGCTGTCAGATAACGTCAAGAAAATATTAGTTAATCTGTCATTTCTTCAATACTAACCAAAAAAAAATAAAAAAAATTGACAGAGAACATCAACACTCTTAACATTTCTACCAGAAAAGGATGTATGAGAGAAAAGTTTTGTACATAAGAAAAGCAAATAAATTACGAATAAATGCAATTCAAAATGGTTAATTGTGGTACCTCGTAAACATGATGCCACACTTCCATTAACCATGAAAGGATACACAAGCAACCGTTCAGTGGGTGTCATGCAAAAACCACGAAGTCGAAGCAAATTTCGATGCACAGCCAAGCTAATCATTTCCACTTCTGTTTGAAATTGCAGCTCCCCACCCTGTGTGCGTTCCTCCTTTAGTCTTTTTACTGCTACAAGAGAGCCATCAGCTAAGCGTCCTTTATAAACCTTTCCAAATCCACCTCTACCCAGAATGTGTTTGTTACTAAAGTTATCTGTTGCAACTTGCAGTTCACGCAGAGAAAACCTTTTAAGCTGACCAAGGTGAACTTCCGGATCCTCCTCAGCTGCCATTTAAAGACAGACAAAATATTAGTACATCAGTTATAGCTATCATATACATCATTTATCAATATGGATACCATCGTTTCTGTTATTCAACTAACCAGGAACATCAAAGAAATGATCCTGAGGTTTCCTTCTTCTCCAATAAGCAAGTGCAATTGCAGGGGCTGCAAACAACAAAGCAGCACCAGCAGCAACTCCTCCAGCAATAGCCCCAGTATTACTGTTACCTGAAAAAAGGATTAACAGGTTAAATAAAAAAGTACAACTCTATTCCAAGAATTGATTGTTATTGAATGGAACAAGAATACCAGGGTTCAACATAATTATATCTTCTATTAAATTTAATCAAGAGACCAATCTAAGAAGTGATATATTTAACTAGAGGCATATGCAATTAACCCAAAGAAACTAAGCTTAAGCCATGTCCATCTTCAGAGATAACGTTAAAATTATTCCATCCTTTTCCAAAAATACAGAATAAACATCTAGAAAAAGCTAATCGTTATCAATTATCAAGTCTTACCTTTCTTCTTATCCTTTAGAAGGAAAGAAGTAAATCCATAGTTACCAAATACGTAATTCTCTTTGTTACATGTACACAGTTCACAGTAGGTTACCATGGTCTAGTTTAGATAAACTTCTAGATAAATCCTTATAGGATGAAAAAATTATTATTATAAAACTTCTTTTATAAATTAAAAATAATTTATGTTTCTATATTTTTTCAATAGTTCTCTCATTTAACTTCTCTAAACCTTAAGAAGATAAGTTGTTTCTAACTTACAAAAGATATTTTATTCATTTTTTATACTGATATTTACTCCTATAAGAACTTCTCTAAAAGTTTACCCAAACTGGACCTATATAAAATATATGATACATGGAGGGTATACCAAGTTGATACGCTATTTGATTTCACAGTAAGTTTCAAAACATCAGTCGATATTCTATTAGTATAAATTTTCTTGAAAAAATGTCATAAAAATTTAACTTAATATAAACATGACAATTTTAACAAAATATCAGTTCTGATTCATTTTAATGAACATAACAAAGGCTAAAATGAGAATTGCTTGGAGTTTAAACCACAAAAAAAAATGGGCAGCCTTTTACGATCATAGTTATTAGTAGTGGGTTGTAGCAGTACAGTGGAGCAAAGTACCACAATCCACTACAAAATTTGAATAACAGAGCATCTTCAAATAGCGGCCATAGCAGCGCTAGAGTCAAATTTTTCAGAAACCCATTTTTATCCTAAAAAAAGCATCATTTTGAAGGACTTTTCTTAGAGACATCAATATTTCTAATTCCCCTTCTAGCAATTAAAATCCTTAATTGGATATAGTTTCTCACGCTTCTATCTACCACCAACACTGCAACCAGCCAATATTGTTTCATTTGTTTTTCTTACTTTTATTGTTATTTACTTGTATGTTTTACTTACGACCCGTGACTTTTTATTTTTAATTATGAATATGTTATGAAATTTGAGTCTTTTTAAATTATTGAGCATTTATAGAGTATAAAATATTTAATTTGTATATAAATTTTTTAAATAATAGTCATTCCACTATGTGCTATCTTGCTGTAGCATTTTTGGCTTCAATCACTATCCAAGATTGATACCTATGCTTACAGTTAGCCTACACAAATTCACAAAATTTATCTCTTTTCATTTATATATTAAATTAAGTTTTGTAAAATAAATTAAAATTTATTCAACATAGACTTTGAACTTGAACCCTAAGTCAACCCCAAAAGCTAATTAGCAAGGTAAGGATTGATTTAGCCTTTATAAGCTTATAAGCTTTTTTTTAACCGTATTTATATTCGACGTGGAACTTCACACATCCCCTCACACTCAAGATTAGACATCTAGAACGTGGAAATTATTTGACTAGTTTTTTTAATATACCACTGGATAAGCCATGGGACCAGGGACTAGGTAAGTTGCACTGGAAAATTCACTGGCCGAGGTTAATTGCACTGGAAAAAATTGTGGAGTCAAATTTTATTTTATTTTCTCAGTCAAGAGTAACCCAATATTAGGTCTACGATAAGCTTTAATACCATGTTGAATTTGGGTTTTAACCCTAACTCGATCCAAAAGTTAGCTCGGAAGGTAAGGATTATTTTATTCTTTCTAATCTTTTATTTAGCCGTATCTATAGTCAATGTGAGACTTCAAGAAACTTTATAATCTCCTTTACCGTTGTGTCTGTTTACAAGGTTGCAGATCTGAGAGAGGCAACAGCTAGAGAGACGAAGGGAAAAGCACCTGCCTTTTTGGACCTCATCAATGCACTACCACCACAACTCACAAGATTCTATACCCAAAATAGATCTCAACACTCTTTCACTCCTTTGCCAAAAGGAACCTCATATCTGGAATAAAAAGAATCAAACCTTTCTTCAGAAGCTTGAGGTTGTAAATTGTTATGAATAGCTAGAATAGACGTATTAGGATTAATGTTTATTTTAATATTATAATAACGGGCTTGGCCCTGTAGGGTTACATATATATTCTTGTAAATATAAGAGTCTCTACACATTGTAAAGTATCCAATTCCAACACACTAATTTGTCTCTCTCTCTATGCTCTCTCTCTTAATCTCTACATGGTATCATAGCCTTCTAGGTTCTCTCCTTGGTCACCACCACCGTTGCCGCCCCCACCACTCCCGCACCGCCACCCCCACCGCGCCGCCGCCGCCACACCTCCGTCGCCGCTGAAAAAAAAAAAAACAGCTTCAATAAAAGCCAACCATAGTTGTTGTGGGGATGAAAAATTTTTCCGATGATCAGAATATGCAGTAATTTAATGTTTACAATTTGAGTGCGGAGTTACAATGTCTGAACGTGATAGCCAGGATGTGCAAGATGCACAGCATAAGGGGGCAGTTATGGAGATTGTATCTCTATCCAAACTTACCGAAGTTAAGCTGGATGGAGATGGTACGAACTATATGAAGTGGAAGTATTTGGTTGAGATTAGCCTAGGTGAATGGGAAAGGATAATCATTTGACTGAAACAACACCTATCAATTCTAAGGATATTGACACATAGAAGATACGCGACAAAAAGATCCTTGTATTGCTAATAAACTCTGTTGATAGGCAAATACAAGCGATTATTACCCACTGCAAAAAAGTGAAAGAGTTGTGAGATTTTTTGCAATTTATTTTTGCAAAATCTGATAATTTGAATCGGTTATATGCTCTCTTGTAAGAAGTTTATTGACCCAAACAAAATAAGCGGAAGCTAATGGACTATTTTTTGGAGTTTAAGAAGATACAATCTCTTTTAGCCTGCAAAACTATTGATGAAATGATAACGCAACAAAAGAAACTCATGGCTTTGAGTTGGCTCTCCGGACTTGATCTGGAATATGAGGTAGTTCGGTCTCAGATTCTGTCAAGCAAGCACGTTGATAATCTTACCGATGTCTTCTCCAAAGTTATACAGTCTTCCTTTGAAGAACTCAAGAGCACTACAGAAAGTGAATCTCCTGACCACTCTGCCTTGACAGTCCAATACGATCATCGTGGTGGTGGCAATGGTGGCAGAGGTGGTAAAGGTAGTCGTAGTCGTGGCCGTGGGCGTAGTGGAGGTCGTGGTATTGTATAGTGCTACAATTGTGACGAATTTGGCCATTATCGGAATCATTACACTCATCCTCCGCAGAATCAATCGTTCTTTCACTCACAAGGTAATTCTCGCTTCGCTAACTCAGTGTCTCAACCTGATATAGCTACTCAGGAGAAAGAACGACATGTTGTGCATATGAGTGATGAGGAATTTATTTAGTATACTCAGTTTCAGATTTTCCAACAACCGTCTACATCCTCTATAGCCACTTTGGTCCAAAAAGGTAATCCTATTGCATGTCTTTCCTCTTCTTCCGAGCGTTAGGTTATTGATTCTGGTGCTACTGATCATATGACTGGGGATTTAAGTATCCTTTTCTCTTTTTGTCTACCCAGTTCTCATTCTTGTGTAACACTCGCTGATAGTTCTACTATCCATATTAAGGACAGCGGATGTACCACCCCAGTTTCAACTTTACCTTTATCCTCTGTTTTATATTTGCCTCAATTCTCTTTAAATTTGTTGTCAATTAGCCAAATTACTACATCATTAAATTGCTCAGTAACATTCTTTTATGATTCTTGTGTTTTTCAGTATCTGGTGCCTCAGAGGATTATTGATAGAGGTAAGGTATCTAATGGACTGTATCTATTAGAAGAAGAAGGGCTTCCGCAAGTTTCTATTGCGTCGAGGAATGAAACAGTGTCTCATTTCCAACTTCATTGCAATCTGAGTCATCCGTCTTTAGGAGTTCTTAGGGAATTATGTCCTAGTATAGAGTCTAATTTTTATTATGAGTCGTGTCAGTTTGCTAAACATCATCGTACTGTTTATTTGCCTCATTTAAATAAAAGGGCTCATGTCCCTTTTGAAATTGTTCATTATGATGTTTGGAGCCCTTGCCCAGTTACTTTTACATCTGGTTTTAAATATTTTATTATCTTTGTGGATTATTATTCTCGTGCAACATGATTGTTTTTTATGAAATCTAAATCTGAAGTTTTTTGTATATTTTGTAATTTCTGTGCTGAAATTAAAACTCAATTTAATACTTGTGTGCGCATTCTTAGAAGTGACAATGCTAAAGAATACTTTTCTGCATCTTTTACTAATTTTATAAATAAACATGGCATACTTCATCAGTCTTCTTGTCTTGTTACCCCACAACAAGAAGACTTGTTACCCCACAACAAAATGGAGTAGTTAAACATAAAAACCATCTTATGGAGGTAGCTCATCCTTTAATGTTTGAAATGAAAGTTCCTAAACCTTTTTGGGTTGATGCTGTTCTTACTGCTGCATATTTAATTAATCGCATGTCATCATCTGTGTTACATGGTGAGATTCCCCACTCTATACTTTTTCCATCACAATCTCTCTTTTCTTTACCTCATAAGGTTTTTGGCTGCACTTATTTTGTATTTGATGTTCGTCTTCAAGTAACTAAACTTGATCCAAAGTCCTTCAAATGTGTGTTTTTGAGTTATTCTTGGTCACAAAAAGGTTACCGGTGTTTTTTTCCTGATCTTGGTCGTTATCTTATTTCCTCTAATTTGTCTTTCTTTGAAGGTCTTCCATTTTTTAAGTCTTCATCTTTTGAGTCCATGGATGAGGTAGATGAACCTTTCTTGACTTATACTCTTGTCTAATCTACACATCCTGTTGCACCCTGTTGCACCTCTAGCTCCTATTGATACAGATTTCAAGTTCTTTGAGCGGATATACTCTTGTCGGCCAAAACAGCCTTCAGATGATGTGCTCCCCGTGGCTAATAATATTCAAGATGATATTCAACCTAGACCACATTATCTCCTCACGCATCAACAGATCCTATGTCTAACCTTGACCTTCTTATTGCTATCCGAAAAGGTAATAGATCTTGCACATATCCTATTTCATCTTATGTGACATATGCTCATTTATCCTCTACATCTAAATCTTCCATGGCTGGTGTAGACTCTCTCTCTGTTCCTAAGACCCTTGCAGATACCCTTAGTCATGATGGTTGGAGACATGCTATGGAGGAAGAAATGTTAGCTCTTGAGACAAATGATACTTGGGATTTGGTTCCTCTTCCCGAAGGCAAACAAGCTATTGGTTATAAATGGGTTTACACTGTGAAAGTTAATCTAGATGGTTCTGTGGCTCGTTTGAAGGCACGCCTTGTTGCAAAAGGATATGCCCAAACTTACGGCGTTGACTACACTGATACGTTCTCTTTAGTTACTAAATTCTCATTTGTTCGCATCTTCATCTCTCTTGCGGCTATGCATCATTGGTCATTATTTCAGCTAGATGTCAAGAATGCATTCTTACATGGAGACTTACAGGAGGAGGTATACATCGAGCAACCACTTGGCTTTGTTGCTCAGGGAGAGTTTGGAAGAGTATGTCGTTTAAAGAAGTCATTATATGGTTTGAAACAATCACTTAGAGCATGGTTTAAGAGATTCAGTGACGTGATTCTAGAATTTGGATTAGTGAGAAGTGAGAGTGATCATATAGTGTTTTACAAACTGACTAACCACGTTTGTATTTTACTTGTTTATGGTGATGATATTGTTATTACAGGTAGTGACAAAGAAGAAATCAGCAACTTAAGGAAATTTCTTTAAATCAAGTTTCAGACAAAAGACTTAGGAATTCTGAAATACTTCTTGGGTATTGAAGTCATGTACTCCAAGCAAGGAATCTTCTTTTCACAAAGAAAATATGTCTTAGACTTATTAACTGAGACTGGACTAAAAGGAGCTAAACCATGTGGGACACCTATGGAGCCAGGAGTGAAACTGACAGCAGATGGAGTTCCTTTTGCAGATCCACAGAAATTCAGAAGATTAGTAGGCAAGCTAAATTACTTGACTGTCACAAGGCCGGATATTGCTTTTTCAGTGAATGTTGTTAATCAGTTTATATCGTCTCCGACGAATACTCATTGGGAAGCATTAATTCGCATTGTGAAATATTTAAAGAAAGCACCAGGAAAAGGAATTGTGTACAAAGATCATGGACATGCACAGATAGAGACATTTTCTGATGCCGATTGGGCAGGATCTATGGACAGAAAATCTACTATCAGATACTGTGTTCTAAGGCGGTAATTTAATTTCGCGGAAAAGTAAGAAGCAAAACGTTGTTTCAAGATGAAGTGCGGAATCAGAATATAAGGCAATAGCTCAGACTACTTGTGAGTTGATGTGGTTGTAACATATGCTGGAAGAGATAGGATTTGGTAGCACTAGGCCTATGTAACTTTAGTGTGACAACCAAGCAGCGATACACATTGCCTCAGATCTAATTTTTCATGAACGGACGAAACATATTGAGATAGACTGTCACTTTATTCGAGAAAAAGTTCAACAGAAGCTTATATCCATCTCTCATGTTAGGACAGGCGACCAACTAGCAGATGTGTTTACAAAAGCTTTAAATGGGACACGTAACAATTATATTTGTAACAAGCTGGGCATGATTAATATCTATACTCCAGCTTGAGGGAGAGTGTTATGAATAGCTAGAATAGACGTATTAGGATTAGGGTTTATTTTAATATTATAATAACGGGCTTGGCACAGTAGGGTTACATATGTATTCTTATAAATATGTGGATCTTTATACATTGTAGAGTATCCAATTCCAGCACACTAATCTGTCTCTCTCTCTCTATGCTCTTTCTCTCTTAATCTCTACATAAATGTACTGGGCAACACAGTGAATATTCAAGAGACTCACAGCAATGGCCACATGAGCCAATTGATCCGGGTTTTATTGGACCACACTGGCGTAGCTAGAGAAGTCTGGTATGCTGCTCTGTTCGATTTGCATCATGAATCGAAAAAGTATCCATTTCAATATGTGTGAATTGGTTCATAGATCGTTGAGATGAGTAGCAAATTTGGTAATTTTGTGTAGATCAAATATTGGTAGGTAAGGGAAAGGTCGGAGGAAGTTTCTAAATAAACAAAGGTAAAGTACAAGAAAAATAGAATACCTACTTCCCATAGCATTAATTTTGAGTTATTTAAAAAACCATTCTTGACCTTTGCTTAGCAGCTTAAACTTTTAGGACAAGTGGTTATTTAACATGGTATCAAAATATAGTTGACCTAATGGCACAGAGTTTGGTTGCTTTTGCCCCCAGTCTCATAATCAAAATTTCAAAACAAAGTTGAGTTTTGTTTCGATTCAGGATAGCTGCAAGCACATTAGAGTTATGCTTTGAATTGAAGCTGTCACCTCAAGTTATTATCTAACAATTTAAAATCATTACCAATAATAACAGACATCAAATCATCAACAAACCTGAAGAAGCTGGTGGTGTTGGAGAAATTGGTGGAGACGGAACATTTTTTGGTGGTATCAAGCCAGGATTATTTTGATAACTGTAAGGTGAAACACGGGATTAGAAAAATTATCAGGTCATCCCTCAACAATAATCATAGATAATAAGGACATTATTATTTGCACCAACCTGATGGGGGTAAATAATGAAAATGAACCATTCACTGGGATGACCCCTTTAAGGTGGTTGTTTGAGAGATCACTATATTCCACAAGAACTGTAGTGTCAGGTTACACTTACAAAAATACATAGTATAAATAGGAATGTGCATATTAACTCATGGTAAATGTAAATATAGGAGTAACACTCACAGAACTTGCAGCGAAGAAACAGTTGTCAATGAGAAGGGTATGCCTCCTGTTAAGCTATTATTATTGAGACGCCTATTTTGGAGAGCAGAATGAATCAGTTTACAGTAATAAGCTACTGATAGACTACAGTAACAAGACATGATCAGCAACAATTGTCAAATATTCAAATAGATAAAATAAGTGTCTTTATTAGCATAGCAGGGTAGATAAGAAAAGTTCTACATCACAAAGTAAATTGAATAAAAAATGAAAAGTATGTCTAACTACAGGCATAACTGATACATTCATTAATTAGCTCTGAATTCCAAGTACATGAATGAATTATAAGATTAGGATAGGAAATTTTACATACAAGGTAGTGCAAAATACCGTGAACCCACCACCACCAGACACATTAAAATTCCTTTTTTATGTGAATAAATTTGCAGGAAAAAGACCATCCAAACAATTGGGCTTCAATCCTTCAAAATATTGTCAGGTTCAAACCCTTAATTGTTTTTAAAACATGTGATGAGAGAACATTCGTTTATCACAGCTAATCAAGATAATTAGATTAAAAAAAGTAATTTCAGATGTGGTTATAGTAAATCTACATTACAGATCAGTCACACCAGACACTTGAAGAAACTTCAGGCACTCATCTTGACCATCACTACTCACCATCCCATCCCATCAATGTGGATATAAATGAACAATTAATACATTGAAGTTGCCGCATCTTTGACACACAATTAATTGATCAACATAAACATGAAACAAACACTGTCAAGATTTCTTTCATCCAATTAAAAGGGAAAAATTTGTGGAAATTGGAATTAGCTGGGCCCACCACACCAAAAAAAAACTGTCACCAAAACTTAAGGCCCAATTCTGACAACCTGGTCAACAACCTTAGGTCTTTGCTTTAAACTAGAGCAGCCTCAAGTATTTCATCTGATTGTGCATATAGTGACACTTATCCATCAAGTAATAATAATAAAACAGTAGCTTCAAGTAGTAATAACAATATCAATAGCAGCAATAATTAAAATATGATTGATACTCATCTATAGGCATGTGTGCATGCATATTAAAAGCACTATTGAATATTAATTGGACATGCTGTAAGCTAATAAATCTACCATGGAAAGGTAAAGGAAGAAACAAATTTGAAAACAAAGTTGAATTTTGCAGCTAAAAACATGAGAATAAGGAAAGTGTGTCATACAGGAAACGTAGTTTTCCAAGGTTGCCCAATGTACTCGGTATGGGACCAGTTAAAGTGTTCAAATAAAGATCCAAGCTCACCAAGTTTGTCAAGTTTCCGAGCTCATCTGGGATTTTTCCAGTTATATTATTACTATAAAGTTCCCTGTTATTGAAAAGGTAAGATTCAGATTTGTGCAGGCAAAATGTCCAACAAATAATAAAAGGTGACAGAAAATGTTCACATGATTTGCATGAAGTTGATGTGTTGAGAATGAAACCAGACAAACAGATATTCATGGTTATGTATAATATTATTTTTAATCTTGAGTTCAGCAATTTATATAACTATATCTAAAACTCAACTGATGAGAAGTTAACCTTGGGGTTGGGGAAATGTCAAAAGTTTCTGTCTTCAACAATAAAAGATGAGAGACTGGGACAGTTATGATTGACATTTTACAACCAAAAGAGGTGGTTTGTGAACAAAATGTTGGGAAATAAAAAAGAATAAAAGAGTGTCTAAATACTATTCTTAGATCCTTTAAACCTCTCTCCCCTTTCCTCTTCAAATGGTTAATAAATAACAACGCAAATACTTTGCCATGAATAAAGAAGAGATTTAGTCTAAAAAGTAAAAGAACAAAGAAGTGCAACTTATCTACCTTATTTGTTGGGGGGGGGGGGGGGGGGAATGGGAGGATAAGGAAGGGTGAGCAGAAATTTATTTTTTATTTATTTATTTATTTTGGGGGGGTGTCACGGGTGGTGAAGGCCACTCAATCTAGAGCTACTGTTTATAAGATCCTTTGAAGAAAGAAACAAAGAAAAGAAATACAAGTGTATAAATCAAGAAATAAGCATAACCTGCTTAGAAAGAGTCAGTTTACTTAACAATATCATATCTAATTCATAACTTACAAGTACTGCAAATTTGAGAGCTGACCGAGCTGTGGAACCAATTGACCAGAAAGGTCTGCATTTCCAAGATCACTGACCAAACACAAATATATAAATCACCATATTTACAAACAGTTACAGTTAAAATTTGTATATTAACTTACACACGAGTCACACTGTTATCACTGTTGCATGTAACATGAAACCACGTGCAGGGATTGACAAGGGTAGCATCCCAGCTTTGAAGAACATTGTTAGGATCAAGCAAATTGCTCTTCAATGCATTCAGGGCATCACCTGTGCTAGAAAGAAGCAATATTCAGGTGTGAACATCCTCAACTTCAAATTGTATGCAATAGGAGATCAAATAGAGGTGTTGACATATTGAGGGTGCAATGTGAAATAGTGAGATTCAGGAATAAGAAACATGAACCGAACTTCCATTAGTCAGCCTTAGTAGCATACTCTTTAAAACTAAGCCAACTACTAAAAGTTGAAAGCATATGGAGAGAAGCATTTTGTACAAGAACAAAACTAAAACCATTGTGACAAGCCAATCTGAGATAATGAAGTCCTATAAACTGTCGCACACGGCACATTGTTATTGCAAACAACAATTCTGGTGAATTCCCTAACCTTAGGATTAAATACTTTCCGCTTCACAATTAACAAACAACCATCATAAAATGAAGATTATCAAAACCTTTCCATTCTATGTCATATTCTGTTGACAAAATGTTACAGCTAGAGAAGTATTGGGACTGAAGAATTACAAAAGCTACTCCAAGCTAATATTTTAACTTCTCCAGTTTTATTTGTCAATCAAACACACCAACCAGCAATACTAAAGCTGAAGAGCAAACCAGTAGATCAAAAAGGGACAGAAATAATAAAAACATTAATGAGTAAATTTTTCCTAATCCAGGTCATTAAAAGCACTTGGTTTTAATGGGAATTGACATTTATGGAACAATTAAAACCCCAAAAAGTAAAGACAAAAGGTAAGCACCCACCTTCTGCATTGCCGGAAGCCTTGAGCACCAAATCAAGTACCAAAATTGCCCAAACAAGATATGAACCGATAAAAGATGAAGTCACTCGCTCCATGTTTCTTCAACTTCAACACAACACCCCAACCTTCATAATCATTCATAAACAATTCCTCTTGATCTACACGATACCCATCAAGTTCAGCAGCACCTTGACCTTGTTGACCAACCGAAAATCGCTGTGATGCACAAAATCGAATTATGGGTAGCTCCAAGTTTTCTTCTTCCTCCTCTTTCCGTGCTTACCTTGGAATCTGGAGCTAAAATCTCAGATGGGTGTGGCCAATTTTAGCTGAAAATGCAGAGAGAAGAGAAGGGTTGAGGAAAAGAGAGAACCAAGTCAACGAAAGTTGCATCCTTTGTTGAGAATTTTCTCCTTCTGCTCCAATTATTCTTTTCTTCCTTATTTTTAAAATTATATTATTCTGGTTTTTCTTTGTTTTATTTATATGAATATGAATTATGAACTGTGATTAGAAAGTGAAATTCAGGAGGAGAGAGATAGAGAGGCTTTGGTATTTGGAGCAGTAAGAAAAACTCAATAAAGAAAGTTGGGTCAAAGACGCACGCTTGCACGCCTGTGACTGTCCCCACAATAGTCTAAGAAGCTTCAATGTTCAATGTTCAATGTTCAAACATAAAAAAAATGTTTTTTATTAAAATTTATGAAAGAAATGTTTATTATGATTAAAAAACTAATTACAATTTTTAATTTTCGACATAATAATTTATCATGAAATTTTTTCTAAAAGATTTAGAATTCAACTTAATTCATTCTTAATTGAATATTTTAATTAATTAAACATGTAATTCACATCTACTTTAACTTACTGATTATAAATTTTGAATTAGATTCATGTTTAACTTTTTTCAAATATACTTAAACTATTTTATTTTTCTTTTCTTCGTTTAAGTTGTTCTGCTTTTTCAATTTTCAGGTTCGTGGCTTTTTAAATGCTAGCTGTTTCAAGCTAGTCTACCTTTTGTTCTTTTGGTTAATACCATGTGACAAGCATGTTATTGTTGAGTGTTTCTTTCCCTTTTTCCTAAGTTTCCTTCGCTGAACCATGACAATTAATAAATTTGTCTTCGGTCTATAAATGTTGAGTGTGGAATTTTCTTTTTTTAGTGACTCAATTTTAAATTTCTATTTAACATACTGTGATACTGATATCTTACAGACCTTGCATATATCATTTTAGAGTCGCTCTATAGTAACCGAGTGTGAAAGAAATAGGATGTTAACATGATTCGTTGTTACATGAGAGAAGCTGTTTTCTTGATTTAAGATAGCATGCAAAGCTAGATACTATTAGACATTGTTTAAGGTATCATAAAAAGTAAGTTGACATTGACAGATTTTTAAAAACAAGAAAAATAATTGGATTATATAAAAAAATTAAATTAACCAAAAAAATATTTTTATTTTTATATTATTTTAATATTTAAAAAAATAAGAATTAAAATAGATCATCTAGCCTTCCCTTAAAAAAATCCTCCTCTTCCTTCTTAGTTCTTATTTCCGTTCAAACTACCACTTCTTAAGTATCATAAGTAACAAAATGCATTTTAGGGAAGAAATTCATTTTCATCACTCCAATTTTACAGCAATTTAAAACAACTACGAAAAAGTACTCAAGCCAATTTATCCAATCCTTATTACCTACGGTGTGATATATGTATAATTAATTTTTTAAGATTAATCATTCTTATATTTTAAGTTAAAAATATACTTTTATAAAAATAAAATACTTTAATTTATCATTTTTAAAGATTAATACACGTATACATGCATATTATTTTTAAATTATTCCTATAATATATATATATATATGACTTAAATATACATTTTTTATTATTAAAGTAAAATTAGTGAATCTTTAGAAAAAAGTTTTAATTTTACCTTCCAGTATTTTTTTATTTATTTTAATTTTTAATTTTTAATTTTTAAAAGTAATTTAAATAGATTATTTATAATTAAAAATTATCTTTTTCTGTCACGTATATTATTCATCTTCTTCTCTTTTACTCTCTTACATCTTTCTCTTCTTTTCCCTCTCTTTTCTTCCCTTTATTCTCTGAAAGCTTACTGTTTGGGTACAATTAGATAATTATTAATATCTAAAAAAATTATTTCTTAGTTTAGATGTGACTTTTACTATGGTCAAAATATTGTTCTTGACCACAGGTGGTAAGAGAATCTTACTTGTTACGTATAGATTATTTCGGCTTCTTAATCATAAAACTATATTAGAGTAGACAAGAAGCATTGTTCGTCGATCCAAGTATATGGGGCTCACTATCATCCATGACAAGGCATGAAGCTTTGTTGCAAGAGACTTTAGACCCAAGTGGGACTCTAATAAAGCATCAATGGCTTCATATCCTCGAGTTGCCAATTGCCATGCCGCCATGTTGTGAAATGCAAAGCAAACGTTTACAGAGGGAGTCAACTCAACAAGCTGCAAGTTAATTTTGTGGAGTGAGTTATGGTCATCCGGCGAGGGGAGGACCAATGCCAATCAAATACAGGAGGGGGCCAACGAGAACAATGCATGAGAGCTTCAATAAGCATTGGCTATTGGAGACTCTGCATGAAGTTGAATGTGGACATAAGGAAGAAGATGAATAACATACATGGCAAAAAAAAACATAAAAATTTTAACAAAATTAACGTTTAATGGTAAAAGACTAATTAAAATCTCTTTTAAAAGTTAAATTATTAAAATAAATAGAAAAACTAAAAGACAAAATTAAAATTTACCTTGAAGATGAAGGATAAAAAATACTAATTTAATGTTTAAATTTATATTATATTTTATTTTTAAAAAGAAAAAACTATTTTTAAAAAGAGAAACAAATATACTCTAATTTTGTCTATTATTAAAAATATTTTTTTAATTTATAGTTTAAAAATTTAGCCTAATTAGAAGATACTCTTAAACATAATACTAGGCAGCTGAAATACTGATTTTATTTTCCTGGCTACATTTTGCTTTGCAAGCTAGCACGCTAAACTTTGATTATAAGTGAATTGTTTATTTTTTAAATCGTAAAAATATTCGTATATTCGGCAATAATATTAATGATATAAAATTATATGAGAAGATAAAAGAATAAAATCTTATCATACTCTATGTTAAATACACATGAAGATAGTAAATTATATAATATTATATTATCCTAGCATATTTTTTTCTAATCTAGGTATTTCCATAAATAAAATTTACACTAGAAATACAAATATTATAAATTCATAAAATAAACTTACTTATCAATTAAATAAACATAAAAGAATAAGGGAATAAAAAACATTATTATATAATATTATCCTATTCAATGAATAGACCTTTAATTTTCTTAAACTTCTTTACTCATAAAACAAACAAAGAACGAAATAAAAACAGAAAACTAAATAAAAAAAGAAAAAACAGTCATCGTCTTAAGATTTGTCAAATATTTGAATATAGAAATAGATAGTCTATCGTAACATGTTTTCTTGTAGTGACATATAACAAATTGTCAAGGATTGTACCATTTTCCACTCCCAATTCTAGTAAACCATTAGACCAAATAAATCCATCCATTGATTTTCTAACGATTTATTAAACTGACCGAGTCGTGCCTACACAGTAGTGCAATACATTTTTGACCGACAAAAGATTAGTTAGCGAACAGAAACCAACCACTCCATTTATGTTACGCTCTCTCATTCTACCTTAAACTATAAATTATCAGAATGTCCACCTTAAACCAACGCACAATTTGACTAGATAACTCAAATCTGAATAAACCCTTACAAATAACCCAACATATATTTGTTTGAAAGATTTTTTATCGGTCGTGATCCTATATATTGGCATCTTCCCCAAATAATTCTACTTCCTCTTAAACTTTCCTCGTTACACCCTCTTTATATCATGGGATTGCCCAGTCGTTTGCACCATCGTAAAGATGAAAGGTTCTAACTTACTAACACTGTACAAGCATCATGACAATGGTTCGTAATCAAGATTTGTTCAATTATAATTAAATAACAAAAATTAAGTATTACTGTTAAATATCTTAAGAATACTCATTACCAATATTTAATATTTTTTGGTAAATACTTTTATTTAAGAAAAAAATAAAACCAAATATTTTTTGTATTTTAAATATCTTAAATACTTTTTATTAAATATTTTATTCTTCTATATCCTCAAACGAATACTCCAAAAATACCAATTAACATGCATTATCCTAAAATTTTAGAAATGTAAAGTATCAGTATAAATGTTTGTGACTTCTATACGGTTTGTATGGTCACATCAACAATTAATTTATGAAGCCTAAACTCCGCTACGGTTTCAAATCAAACAAAGCAGGGTTGCTTCAATTTTACCCAAGCTCCTATTGTATTTTCTCCGTGCTAGCAAACAAAAAAGGATCGATAGCCCATACAAGAATTAGGAGAAATAGATTTAAGAAGGCAAAGCCAAATAAATAATTTATACATATGTTGTCAATTTTGATAAATGACATTTTAATATTGTTATTTAAAATAATTTTATCAATTGTTAAATTTTAAATTATTTAATATTTATGGTCATGTTTTATTCTAATATATAATATATTATTTAAAATATAAATAAATAGTTCTTATTAGATTATATATCTATAAATATTTAAATTATATAAAATTTATATACATAATTATTATAATAATATTATATAAATTAATATTTATTTTGATAAAATTTATTTTTAATAAAAAATAAGCTTAATTATTTTTTTTTATCTTTATAAAAGTAGTACTCTTTAAAATTAGTCTTTAAAAAAATTGTTAGAATTCAGTCTTAATATTTTTAAAATATTTAAATTTAATTCATGAGTCAATTGTTTTAAATTAAGTGATGAGTTATATTATCATTATTTAATATTTTATTATTTAAAAATTAATATTTACAAAAAAATCTTTAAAAATTAATATTTAGTCCATTTCTTTAAGCTTTCTTTTTTCTCTCTCTTTTAATCACTCATTTATGGACTCCAACAAATAAAAATAATAGCTTTCTTAAATCTAGAAATCCTACTGAAGATATTGCAAGTCATTAACACTCGCATCGACAATCACTAGTCTCCTCTCCTTCAATTAATAGGAATTGTATTGCTCCTAACTAGTTTAGACCTAGTTGAAACCTAAACCTCTTAGACTCACTCAACTACACCTATGTCCTACCATCTCACCTTAACATTAATATGATTTTCTTAAATAGGCTTTAGCTAGGTCAATTTGTCTATGTGGATTGCTTCTACTTCGATTCCCCTCTTCCTTTAGCAGGTCAATATGTTAGAGTTAGAGTTTTCCCATCCAAGTGCTTCACAAACAAGTTGTACATCTTGTTGTCCTTGTTTTACTCCATTCTCTAATTCTAGACTTTGACAAGAATGACACATTGAAATAGAAAAATAATGATTTGAGAGAATTTTAGAAATTAGGATTTGGAGAAAATGGAGGGAGAGAGAGAGATGTAATGATTTTTTTAAGAGTGTGTTATGTTAAACCTATTCTAGGAGACATCATAGATCTAATCCTTGATAGCCATGAGTAAAGGGCTTCACTACTAAAATTGTTAATTTTTTTCATTATTTTTTTAGGGTTTAGGTTTAGAGTTTAGGGTTTAGGGTTAAGTTTGAATTTTATCAGCAGTTTAAATAACTGTAGTTAAATTTAAATATTTTACGCAGTTTGCTATAATATTTGTGGTTAATTAACGACGGTTAAGAAAACCTCAAGTAATTATTAAAATATTTTTTATCAACCCCTAGGTAATTAACCTTTCCCGCGCTCATAAATCTCTCTCTCCCAAAAACCTGAAACACAAGCCCTCTTTCTCAACTTCGACTGTTGCCTAACCTTCCCCGCGCTCACAAATCCTTCTCTCCCAATATCATTGATTGAATCAATTTGAACATCCACTATTGTCAAAGCCCTTTCTAAGAAGTCATTGCTTGAAGCGATTTCCTTGACCAAACTTGTACCAAAGCAAGATTGCTTGACACACATACCAACGACATCCTCTCTCTTTGAATCGATTTGGTGTCCTTGTTGTTGCTCTCATTGCACAAAGGTATGATTTCTATTTTATGTTTGGGGTTTTATGTTTAGGGTTTTAGATAAACTTTTATAATTGTTTTGGTTGCAATTTTAATCTGATAGAAAATATGCCATTAGAGACCCTTGTATTAATATGAAAGTTATGGCTTCGAATTGCATTTTTATCTTTGTAATGAAAATAGATTTGTGTTAGAACTCTACAGAAAGAGCCTGCTGCATGTTTGGTTGAGCCATGGTTCCCCTTTCTGACACTAGAATACTAACTGTGACGCTAAGCTCTACCCTATTGGACTTAAATTATTTAGATAGATTTAGCATGGACAATATGAAAATGTGGGAAGGCTACTTTAATTTCATTTGACATTGAAGTAAAGTGAGCTTCCATATTGCTGCTTTTGTTCCAAATAAATTAAGAGACTTTTTGGCTTTAGAAATTATTTTCTTTATTACAAAATTGGTTTTGCTGAGTTATTATATTTTTTAACTTGTTTTAAAAAGTTAGAAAAATAATTATTATTTTTAAAGCTTATGTATTTTGAGCTGGACCTTTCTGTGAGATTCTAGTCATTAAGATTCCATCAGTACTCCATTAATTCTCATGACACACAGCCTTCACCTGCATCTCATGACCGTATAATTCCTTTATGCTCTTATAAATATAACTCAGTCAATTTATATAATAAAAATTTCTCATAACAAGTTACTAATGGTGACACTACTTGTTACTTTATAGGGATCGACCAGAAGCCGATTTTTAGCAAAAGGAGTAATTCAGCACAACATTTTCATACTCAACCTTTAATTGCACCTTAGTTGCATATTGAGCCTCCATCTGCACCACAATTGTATACTCAGTCTTCATCTATACATGTACCTCAATCTAGTCTTCAACCTTTAAAAGAGTTACATTATGACAGTGAAAAGGAAGGGAAAATAAAGTCCCAAGTGCAACCTTCACAATCAACATTGCGTAAAAGAGCTTGACTTGTTGACATAGTTAGTAAAATTTCTATACTATTATAATGCACTTAAATTTAATATTTTTAAATCTATGTGCTAACTTTTGATTCATAGATGAAAAATGGCACAAGAAAAACTAAACAGCTTACAGTCAATGATGTTTGGTCTCTTCCTCTCACTGAAAAAATCATATTGAATTGAAACAATGAAGGACAACCAATTGGAGATAGTGAAGGATTGTTTAATAGGTTCTTAGGTCCTATTGCAAGGGACTTTCAGCTATTCCCAATCAATTATACTAATTAGAAAAAAGTTTCCAAAGATTACAAAGAATATGTATTCAATCACACCATTCAGGTTAGAATTACTTAACTCACACATGCTAAACCAAACCTTATGTTTTAATAATTTATGCCTTAATTTTAATTATATTATGAACATCAATCAATTTTTATCTTCTATTTTGTAGCCTAAGTTTCAAGTTGACTCTGACCTTCATAAGAGTTATGTCTTCAAATAACTTAACTTACGGTGAAGAGAATATAGGCAAGAATTGTGGCAACAAAGGGATGATAGTACACGTAAAAGAGATCAGTTGATTGAGATGGTCTGAGAAGGAGTAAATAGAGACCATTGGGCTTATTTTGTTGACTATCGTTTAAGTTCAAAAACAAAGGCAAAATAACATTTTTGACCTTATAATTTTTGTGATTGAGAATAATTTTTTCATTATTGATTATTAGGAAAATGCCTAGAAAAATAGAAATAATAGAAAGAAACAAACAATTCCTCACATTGTGGATCCAAAAGCATTGCACGAAATAAGGTAGAGATGGTAAGCATAAATTATAAATAATAAAAATAGAATTTTGCTTTTAACATAAAATTCACATTCTTTTTCAACTTTGTAGGAACTAGAGTCTGGTCAAAAAATTAGCAGGAGAGAAGTATGGACTATTACACATAAATATGCAAATGGAGATTTTGTTAGCTAGGAGGTCAAAGAAATTAGTGTATGTTATGTTTTATTCAACTACTTTCTGCATGATATATATATATATATATATATATATATATAAGTTGTTTTTAATATTTCAAAACACTTTTATATTTGGTATTGAGATATGGTTCTTTTATCTTTAAACACAAAACACAAGTATGTTAATATTAGCATTTGATTGTTAGTGTAATTTGAGCTTGACTATATTTAATGGTGCTTTTATAGGAAAAAAAAATTCAAGAATATGAATCTAGCAGATCTTTATCCCAAGAAATATCTACGCAAGATTCATTAGCTCATGTTTTAGGAAGTAAAGAGCATTGTAGCCGTGTTCAGGGTTTAGGATTGGGTCCTTATCCATCTCAAGTCTTTGGATATCCTTCTCGTTCATATAGTGGAATATCTTCATCTCTTCCTTCTTATAGGGAATTGCAGAATCAAGTAACTATTTTTAAGTCACAAATGGATGAACAAAATAAAAAATTTGATGTAATGATGAATTTTTTCATTTAGAACTTTGAAGGTCAACTACCTGCAGACTTACCTATGTTTCAAACTTCACTGGTAATCCTTTTAAATTTAATTGTTTTAATAATATATTACATACAAATTACATGACAATTCATATTTTTAACTTGTTCTTAATTATTACATTTCAAGTGTCTGATCAAGGAAGTGCACAACTAACTAATGTAACTGATCATTCTCTTTCTAATTCTCCAGCTAAAGAGTAATTTTCTTAGGAATTATAGTAGTAGTTCATCTATGAATAAAAGACATGACATGCTTTATTTTAATTAGAACATTATTATAAGTGTGTATTATGAAATCTTTATATATGACTTTTGATTTTATATAAGTGTTTATGGTTTTTAAAATTTGTTATATTTATCAATTAAAGGAAATTATTTGATTTTTATATAATATTATATGATATACAGTAAATTAAAAATAAGCTCAGTTTTAATCATCCAAATTTTATATATTTTAGCACATGCATTTAATAGGAGTTTCAAAACTGTTGGCAATTTTGGAAAATTAACGAGGGTTTCAAAATTGCAGGTATTTAATGAGAATTTCAAACTGCGGGTAATCCATGTGAAATTTAATAGAGGTTTAAAAATCGCAGGTATTTAACGACGATTATCAAACTCAAGGTAACTAACAATGGTTGCTGAATTGCAGGTATTTAACGATGGTTAGTGAACCACATATAATTAATGATGGTTAATAAACTGCGGGTAATTAACTATGGTTAATAAATTGCAAGTAATTAATGGCATTTATCAGAAATTGTTGTTAGTTAACAAAGATTTGTATAACGGGAATACCAAAATTACCTGTGATTGTTAAAAACTGCCGATAATCTATTTGTTACGCTTAAATTAACTACAGTTTTGTCAACCGCGGGTAACGTCATTTACGATAGTTTAAATCCTCGTTAATGTCATAATTAACCATGGATAAACCATTCTTTTCTTGTAGTGCCTACAACCTATCATTTTTAAAGTCTAGCCTGAACTAGTCTATTTAATTAATAGATTTAATTTAGACTTTTAAAATACTTAATTAATTAAATAGGTTAGGTTTGAGCTTAAGAAAAAGTCACTTAGGCCTATTAGAATGGCTTTTGTAAAACTCATAAAATTTACAATAATATATTAAATAATTTTATATAAAAACTATAATACAATAATACATTAAATAAATTAATTTTTAAAATAAATAAAATATTAAATTAAAAAAATAATCATTTTCATTGGGTTGAAGAGTGTTTCTACTACATTCTCTCTAAGAAATAGAGCCTTACTTATTAGAATATTTTGCATATATCTTATACACATAATGCTGATTTATATTTGAGCTGTCTTGATTGTGTCTATCTCTAGTTTATCTCGTCTCATACATCATCTTCTTGCACATTTGTTTGTATTATATCATATGTAACTCTTTTTCACTGGAGTAGGCTATTAAAAAAGTTAATAGACTAAAGCATACTCTTAAAATAGTCAAGTTAAGCTTAATAAAAAGCTTATGACAGATAATAAACCAGGTTTATACTTCAAAATTATTAGATAGGTCAGACATATTTATCCAAAGTAACTTAATCCAACCTATTTTCATCTCTAGTAACAATGGTAGTTGAAAAAAGAGACCTAAAATAATGTAGTAAAGGGCAAAAAAGAGAGAGCGAGAAGCATAAAGAAAGAAATAGGAGAAAGACTAGTATAAGCGATGATGATATCCTTCAGAGTCTCCTACAGTTGCAAAGTCATGACTATGTGTTTGAGAGAAAAGAATAAGGGAAGAACATAAATTGCTCAATTATAAGAATCTATTTTGGTATCTAAGTTGAAGATTTGAGGTCAAAGAAATTGACGGACATAAGACCAAAAAAAAAAAAAATTATTTGAAGAACTACTCAAATCATGGAGTCCAAATTGAAATGTAAGTTAGATCCTAGTGAAAAGGGATTTTGATCATAAAATGAAGCTCAAGCCATGAAAGAAATTGATGAAGTTTGATGCAAAAAGAAAGAAATTGAAAGAAAAAATTAAGAATACTTTTGTAAATTTTAATATTTAATTAATAAAATATTAAAAATAACATTAATAAGCTATATTTTCATTATCTCTCTTAAATCTGAATAGAGTATGTATATAAGAAAAAAATATAACTAAACTTAAAAATTATTAAAGATGATATTTTACTAAGTTTCACTATTAGTTATTATTTGATCACAACGTGCGCACACATTAGGTGCATCCTCACGCGCATCAACACCCACCAGTTTTTCTTTAAAATATTAGGCCTTTTATTGGGTCAAATATTAGGCTTCAAATGAGGTCTTCTTTTAATTGGGCTGGCCTGTGGGCCGAACCATCTTTTGTCCATTTCAATAAAATAATTAATACTTTTAAGTACCCGTGGGCTGACCCATCCTTTCAAATTTCAGGTCCACATATTCTCACCGTTAAAAAATAAAAAATAAAAAATAGAAAACATTTACAGGTTAAATAATAAAAGGTAATACAAAGCTTTAATTTTTGGGCAGTTAGAGATAAATTGTACCATCTTGTAATTATTTTTGAACCTTATTTAATCACGATCCTTGATCACTCAGTCGTGGCACACTGCTCCTATGTCGTCTCATGAATCCTTCATCTAAATCCTATTTAGTGAAATCAACTTGATTTTTTTAATATTTCACTCATTAAAATATTATATTCTTATAAGTTTTTAAGAACAATGGAAAGGAATTGAAATAAAAATTTTTAGCAAGTAATTTGTATATTTTGTGAATGTTTCGTAAATATAAATAAAATTTAACAATATGTATTAAAATATATTTAACAAAAATTTGTAATATATATACGTATAATTAGTTCAACAAATATACAAATAAATATAAAAATTAATATTTGAGGGAAAATATATATTAATTTAAAATAAAACATTTTTTTGTGAGATATGGAATAAAAAAATTCAGCATAAAAAGAAAAACAAAGATAATTATTTAAAAAAATAAGATTTGTAAAAAAAAATATATCAACGTAAAAAATGAAGGTAATTAACTATTGGAATTTTAAAAATATTTTAAAAAATATGTTAAGTAATGATGACGTGATGTATCTTAACAAGAAATTTTAAATCAAGGATGAATTAAATATAAATATTAAAATTTGAAACATATAGTAAATTTTAATAATTCAATAAGAACTTAATATTTTCAAATATTTAATTAATTCATATTAATTTTTCCCTTAATAAAAATTAATTAATCCTTTGCCATTTTTTATTTTATATTCAAAGTAATTAAGAGGACTGAAAAAAATGTTAAATTAAAAAAACTTACATTTACAACTAATCTAAAATATCATAAGCATAATTTTTAAAGTAAATATTATAAAATTCAATAATTTTTAATGACAATGTAAAATTTCTTTTTTTTTTGTAATTAAATATATAAAAGATGTGAGATTGAAAAAAATTAATATAAAAAATTTAAGGGAATTAGATTTTGAGAAAGAAGGATATTTAATGTAAAAATTTCAAAATACCTAATAATTTAAGTAATAAATTTATGTAATTTATTTTACAAAAGAATATAATACTCCCTCCATTAATTAAAAAGATTGATATTCTAAAATTGTTAAAAACATTATTACTTAATTTTTTATTATATTTTTATCTACTGTATTTATTTATATCTCATTTATTTACTATCCTTTAGTAAACACAAATTAACTAATAAAGGTAAAATTGTTAAAAATTATTATGATTATTCATTGATTTTACAAAATAACAAAATAAAATCACTAACTTGTCAAAAAGAAAACAGAAAGAGTAAAAATGTCTTCATTTAAAAAAAGTAATGATTCTGTTTCATTAAATAGGGATAGATAAAAAAAATAAAAAATATTAATAATTAAAAACGCATTTAATAATTTAATAGTACGCATTGAATGTTTCTTAATTACAACATTAAAGTCTGATCATATTTTATTATATGTTACATTTAAAGGTATTAAGAGAGTTGAAAAACTTGTAAAATAGAAGATATGTATAATAATTCATAGAATAAATTTTCTGAGTGCAAACTAGGATAATTACCCATAAACAAGAAAAAAGATAAATACGGTGTGGGGCTAAAGACATTTATTATACTCAAATAATCAGACACATTATATTTATTATACTTTGTAACTGAGTTGTTAAACGTCTTGAGGGATTTTTTTTTTAAATTAAGTTTGATATTGTATTTTCAATATTTATTGTTAAATATTAAATAATAATTTATTTTACTAGTTTAAAAAAATAAAAATCACACATTAAAAGGACAGCATATTCATCATAAGAAAAAGAACATGTTTTATTATGATAAATATGATCCAAACAATGAGTCCATTTTTAGATACATATTATTGAGTATGGCTATAAAAACAAAGTTATTATACATGTATTTATTTTAGAAAATGAGGAATAGGGTCTTTTTACTTGGGAAAGGAAATTGAATTTCATTAATCTTAACCTTGCTGGAACTCTGAGTAGTTGAATTTTTATTTTTTTTCAAGGTAAGCAAAAGTTTGTGAAATACTCTAACTATACCTTACGTGTTCGTATTCCAAACTAGACCAACTGCATTTGCTTCCCACGTACAAAGCTATCATCAATAAATATTCTATAGCATTGCTCTTTCCGTTTAAAGTTTTGAATAATAAAGCTAATTTAGTTAATTAATTAAATTAATTTGATAATTAAGAGGTCAACGGTGATTTTAAGATTATCAAAACAATCCCTGTAAGGTATGAAATCCACACACATGCACTTGCCGATGAAATTTGATGGATATAAGGCAAATCTGTTGAACTTAATAGAGAATCAAGAGCATATAGAGTGAGTAAATATTTGAGACCAACAGTGCTACTGTAAGTTCTGAGCCAACCATGGTCTACAAGACTTCTGCCTCTACATTGAAAGTTTTGGCACTCTCTATGCTATATGTTCTTCTAATTCATGCTGCAAATGGAAAAGTTCATCATCACAAGTTTGTGGTTAGTGTATTCATCTCTCACCAGCAATGGTGGAATGTGGAATCTAATTTAGTTTACAATTCTTTGTTACATAACTTCTATAGCTGAACCACAACCACTAACACCTTCTAACTTGCACAAATTTTGTTAATCGATTTTGTTTCTGTAGATAAAATCTTCATCTTTCACTAGATTATGTAGTACCAAGAACATTTTGACAGTGAATGGAGAATTTCCGGGTCCAACCCTGAAAGCTCATAGAGTAGACAAAATTGTAGTTAAAGTTTACAACCGGGCAAAATATAACATAACAATACATTGGTATGTGACTTCCTGGCCTATACCTTACACATGTTTATTTAGTACATGATTGGAAGAGTCTTTGGCAGGCATGGAGCAAGACAAGTAAGGAATCCATGGTCAGATGGAACTGCATACATAACACAATGCCCAATTCAACCAGGAAATATGTTCAAACAAATTATCCATTTGACAACAGAGGAAGGAACAATATGGTGGCATGCACATTGTGGGTGGGCAAAGGCTACAGTTCATGGAGCTGTCATTGTTTATCCCAAGCGTGGACACCGTTATCCCTTTCCCGAACCTCATGCTGAGGTTCCGATCATACTAGGTACCTTTTAGTCTTTACCCCTCACAACTTTTCAGAATTTTTTTCCCTTTTGGCTTTTAGTACAGTTCCTATATACTGGAGTTTTCAACATTGAAGGAGAGTGGTGGAAGAAAGAAGTAATGGAGATTCCAGATAATGCAAACAAAACAGGAGGAGAGCCAATTCTATCAGATGCATATACCATAAATGGTCAACCTGGTCACCTATATCCTTGTTCCAAAAAAGGTACACACTACTAGTACTGCCTCCTAGGCTCACAGATTTGTTATGTTACATATTTCTCAAAATGTTCATAAAACTCTTGTTTTTCCTTTTTCCATTGGATAGAGACTTTCAAGATGATTGTGGACTATGGAAAAACATATCTTCTTAGAATAATCAATGCAGTGATGGATGAAGAACTTTTCTTTGCCATTGGAAAACACAAATTGACAGTGGTAGGTACAGATGGAAGCTATGTGAAACCAATAAACACAAGTTACATAATGATCACACCTGGCCAATCGATGGACATTCTATTGGAAGCAAATCAACATCCTGGTCACTATTTCATGGCTGGAAGGGCCTACTCAAGTGCTTTTGGTGCTGGTTTTGATAACACAACTACAACAGGTTTGCTTATATACCGTGGCTCCAACCATCACAAAAAGAGGCCAATTCGCCCACATCTTCCTCCATACAATAGAACACAAGCAGCAACTGATTTCACTAAGCAATTCAGAAGCCTTGCAAGTAAAACACACCCAACAAATGTCCCAACAAAAGTGGACACCCATTTGTTGTTCACCCTTTCTGTTAATCTGCTTAATTGTACTGATAAACCTTGCACAGGCCCTTTTGGCAAAAGGTTTTCTGCTAGTGTGAACAACATTAGCCTTGTATATCCACATATTGATTTTCTTAGAGCCTACTACTATAAAATTCAAGGTGTGTTTGACATGGATTTTCCAAGAGAGCCAAACAAGGAATTCAATTACACAGGCGATAAATTGCCTGAATACCTGTTGACCCCAACATTTGACACCAAAGTGCTGGTTCTGGATTATAATGCCAATGTTGAGCTTATTTTACAAGGAACCAATGTATTAGCAAGTGACAATCACCCTATTCATTTACATGGATACAGCTTCTATGTGGTGGGTTGGGGTTTTGGGAATTTTGACCCCAAAAAGGACCCCCAAAATTATAATCTTATTGACCCACCTCAGGAGACCACAGTTGGAGTTCCTAACAATGGTTGGGTGGCCATCAGATTCAGAGCTGATAATCCAGGTGAGCTTTTCATATATTTCTTCTAAAAGTTGAAAATAATTAGAGTTTTCTGAATTAATATTGAACTTTTTGTGTAAAAAATTAAGATTATACTTGACATAAATATAACATAACACATTTTCTATGTTATCATGATTAGGCTTGTGGTTACTACATTGTCATATTGAACGCCACAATACTTGGGGCATGGCTATGGTGTTCCTAGTGAGGGATGGCCCTTATCCTCATACAAAAATTTTTCCACCCCCTCGGAGTTTACCCAAATGTTAAGACTTGGGGTAAAATACTGATCTAAACCAGAGGGAATAATACTTACCCCATAAAAATAATAACAAAATTTACAGAATTATTGTTGTGCCTTGGCTTAAAAGTGAAATTGCACTGTTAATTTTTCTACTATCCCTGTTTCTCGTTTAGAGTTTAGATTTTATAGTTGAAGTATGGAATAATTAAATTTTTTTACAAATATCAAATTAAAAAGGTTGTACATTATATTATAAATTGTTAGATAACTAGATTATTATATTTAACAGTTATAATATCAAACTAAAATGTTAGATAACGCACGCTCAGTTGACCTTTATTACACATAAGATCAAATTTCAATCTTTATTAGATAAAAATGCCGTGTTTAATATATTATACCTAATTTGTTTATCTTCAGTTTTTTACACATTTTTTTTTTGTAAATACAGTAAATGACCCAAGATACAGAAGATGGGCTTGAGATCTTGGGCCCATTAAATTTCTGCCGATAAGATAGATTGTACAAATATTAAAAATTATCTGATTTTGACCAAAAATGGAGGATTTTTTTTTTGTGGACCAAAAATGCTTAAGACAAACTCTTTTTGTTGCAAAAACCAAAGAGTCTCTTTTTTATTTCTATTTTTGGGAAACAAATAAACTTCTGCTAAGTTACGCACCTTTTTTGTGGTCAACCATCTGTTTTATTGCTTGATGGGGCGTGTGGTCCCCTTTGCCACCAGCCCTTGTTTGCTTGCTGCCTCTGCAGTGTGTTACTATGGACCATTAATAAAAGAGATAACTATTAGACCAAAAGACTAAAGGGCCTACGTTTGACCCATAAATGGAAAAAAAACTTTAATATAAAAAATAAGTTTAATTATATTTTTAATTCTCATACTTTAATACTCTAAGAGTAGGTATAGTTTTGATTTCAATAATTTTAATTGCTTGCATTTTTTAATTATTTAGGTTGAGTTATTTGTTTTCAAAATTTATCTAATAATTAAAAAAAATATAATATATCATTAATTTATAAAAAATTATAAAGAAAGAGATATATAAAACAATCAAATCAAAATTATAAAAAATTAATTATATTTTATACATTTTTATTTAAATATTTTTTTATTAATTTATATTTTTACTATTATTAAACTCAGTTTAAGTAAACTTCTAGAGGAGTTCTTATAACAAAAAAAATAATATAAAAATAAATAATTTTTTTAATAAGTTAAAAACAATTTATACTTATTTTTTTTAGAAGTTAGGAAAAAATTATTTAAATTTTTATAAAATTTGAAAAAATATGTTATTTTTAATTTATAAGAGAATTTTTATTTATTTTTTATAGTAATTTTTTTATAAAGGCTTTTTTAGAAGTTGGGCCTTATTCTCTAAATTTTTCCTTTTTCAAGTTGCACTAAACTTTAATTTTGTTCTAACAAATCAATAAACTTTATCCTTTTTTAAATTAGTCTGTTCTACTAAGTTAAAATTAAATTACTAACAAGAAGTTTTTTTTATAATTTATTTACCATAAATTTTAGTAATTTATTTATCTATTTTATAAATTTTTCAAATACTAAAACATAATAAAATTTATAATTTTTTTAAAAACCAAATAAAGACTATTAATTGTTGTTGATTAATTTCTTTATTTTTTTGGTTTTTTAAAATCATAAATTTGTTATGTTTTAATTTTTGAATAAAGAAATTGTTAAAAAAATTGAATATATGAGGTTAAAGTTAACGAATGGTTAAATTTTTTTATAATTAGTAATTTAACTCTAATTTTACGAGAAAATTTAAGAATGAATTGAAATAAAGTTCAAAATTAATTGGGATAAGATTAAAGTTGAAGATATTTATTAACAAATAAAAAAAAAGGGATTGAATAATTTTTTTTAGAATTTAAAAATGTCCTCACATCTTTAAGTCACAGATACGGGTCATTTTAGTCATTTCAGATACTGACTTTCACATATTTTTAAAAAATGTTCAACGTTTGAAGTTTTTACAAATTAATAAATTTTTTCTAGGTTACGAAAAATTAGCATGTCATATCATTAAATTTTCAAACATGAATTTGAAGATTCCATAAAAAACAAACAAGTACTGAGAACTTCAAATCTATGATCGATAATTATACATTTTGAACAAATATGAAATTGAGACATGCTTATGTAAGCAAAAAATTCAACTAGATGTGAAACTACTACAATGCTTCAATGCTTAAGCATCGAAAGCTTCCCTAATTGGTTAAGTATCCAAGTGACTTGATTCCAGGTAAGCACCGACTATCCTATCTTTTTCAGTGGTAATTTTGCTTTGTTCTTTCCTTTCCATCAATTATTAAAATAAATATTAAAATCAATATGTTGGGCCAATTATTTTTAAAAAATGATTGCTTGTTGAAAAATCGTAGTCCACTTGTCTTTATTGGTGTAAAAAATTGTCGTTATGTTTGTTCTTACGAGCCTAAAATGATTCGTTTAACATTGTTTAGAGGAATTATTTTTAAAAAATGAATTTTTTTTGTATAATATTAGAAATTAGAGGAAGATACCATTCTATGATCGGGGTCTCTTGCAGTTTTAACGCGAACTTATTAGCCTTACAGTTAGTTCATTTTTTGCACTTTCATTTTGAGCAAAGATTTCTTAATTAAGTGAAAGTGCAAAATGCACTAATGGTAGAGTGTAGTGATTGTAATAAACAGTGAGAGGTTAAATTAAGATGATTATTTCAAATTTGACTGCTAAACATGATGGTGTTAACTAACAAACCTCCGTCCTGAAAAGATCCAAATATTGTAGGATCTTACTCTGGATAGGTGGCAATGTTGTAACCAAAGAAACGGCAAGTGGGATTGTGAGGCTTGATGGCAATTAAATGATGATGCATCCACTGAATATGATTCAGACTCCACACTCTTTCTGCAGCCACAGCCCACAGTAGCACAAACCTTAGGATATATACATCAATTCAATTATGTCCTTGCTGGGCAACCACCTTTTGTAAAGGTTGGATTACAAAAGGAATATTATGGCCCAGTGCCATGTTCACTTCCCTCTTCTCTAAGGTCCCCAGTTATGCTACTCATCTTACCTGTTTTCAAGCATCTTTAATGTTCAATAACACTTCATTAGATATTTTCTCCTTTTTAAATGATATATCAATTTTACAATGTTGACTTGTTTTAAAATATATATTACTTTGAGAAATTCAAAAGATTACTTACTCCTTCTCATGTCATTTATGACATCCTTTTTACTGAGTCACACAAATTAAAAAAATTATTACAATTAGTTAATGTAATATTTTTTTTAAAATAATTGTAACATTATACGTTTACCTTTTTTAAAGTTAAAATTTATTATCATTTTCATCAATAAGAAGTTAAAAAGATTTAATATTATGAAAAATAAATATAAAAAATAATTAATTTTCTAAAACTTTGTAAAGAATCTTATATTAAAGATCACTAAAATGTTTTAAATGGATTGTAAAAATTATTTTCTTAAAAATATTTTAGTCATTAATATATCACATATTTGATTAATTTATAATTAAGGATAATTTTTATATTTTGTATTGGATAAAATGTGAAATAGGCAATAAAAAGTAGTAAAAAAAAATAGAGAACAATAAATTAATAAATAAATAATAAAATACTTTATTTATATAAATATAATATAAAAAATCATCAAGCACATCTATCAACCGGTAAGAAGTAAATAAAATACTTTATTTGTATAATTAAATTGTATTAGCCTAATTAAATAATATAAAATAATAAATAAAATTTTCTATTAAAAATATGAACCAAAATAATTTTTTTGGTTTACTTTATTACTGAATATTAATCTTATATAACTTCACACAAGTAGTTTAATAATATAAAAATTCAATACATATATATGCAGGTAGAGGGCAGGGTGGGTATTTAGATACACATACCCGTACCAATCCCCATTAAAATTTGCATACTTGTACCCATGTAACAGATAAATGCCCTACTTGTTATGGATAAATTTTGTGGGTGCCAATTGAATACTTTACCCGTTTCCATCCCTAGTAAGAAACTATAAAATCTATCAATTTAATTTTAAAAATTTATTCTATGCTCATATATTTTGTCTCAATCCTTTTTTGTTGTTGATTATATCAATTTTTTTAACATTAATATATATTTTACTCTTCTATATTTATCAAGATATTATATATATATATATATATATATATATATATATATATTTGCAACACAAAATTATAAATTTATTTTAAAATAAAATATCTATTTGTTTCATGACTTATAATTAGTTAAATCAAATCTTAAGTGATGTTGATACATATACTTAGAGTTGTCAAAATGGGTGACCATACCTAGCTTAGGCTTATTTAGTCTAAGGTAAAAGTAGACTTGCATTTTTACTGCTCAAGCTTTACCTTATGCGTGCTCCGAGCTTCTACAAGCTGGATTGACAGTCTAAATAATATTTTTTTTGTTATTTTCTTTTTTCTATTTTTGTAATATGCCTTTTTTTTACTATTTTTGTAACAAAAGACCATTATTTTCTATTTTCTATTTTTGTAATAGGCAATTTTAGGCTATTTTTGTAACAACTTAATTGGCCACTCATTTTTTTTGGGTCCAATTTTTGTATTAGACTATTTTTTAGTTTTTTTTTTAAGTTATAACATGCCACTGGTTCTTTTTTTTGTAACAGTCATTTTTTTTAATTTCTATACACAATAAATTTACAAAAATATAAATAAGTTCACAATTAAACAAAGTTTCAAAGACAAAAAGTCTATACACATAATTAGTCTACTAAAATATGTTCCCTTTTAAACTTCCTAAAACTTAGCATTTAATCTCAATATATATATATAAGGCTGCTTGAGCTTGCATGGACCATACTGGTTAAAGCCCTATCAAATACCGGGCTTATTTGGATTGGAAAAAATGGTCCAAAGTAATTTCGAATCTTATTGTTTAGAGTTCAATCTCGCCCATT